TTTTTAAGTTGGTCAGATCGAAAATTCTCAAATATTCAGAAAAAAATTCATAACTCATAAACTATTAGTCCAGGAGGAATCGGCGCATGAGTACCGAAAACTATTAAACCTCGATTTTTTTATGCGATTCTCGTCAAATTGCCCTACTGATGATATAAATGCATGTTGCTATGGGGCAACCCCGTGCCATATTGTTTAAACCGAAATTTTTTAAACAATTGCAAAGCATTGTTATTTTTTAACCGGACAATTTTTTTTTATATTCTTTATTCAAATAAAAAAGGTCCTATGACTTTTCGCGATAAGGTTCGCGCGCTCACAAGTATGCGTCACTTACCTTTAAGTATACAATCTCGATATTTATAGATTTTAAGATAAATGATAAATAACGATTCAGGACACAGAGAGGCCGATGCAGCGCGTGAATCGGAAAGAAATTAACAATTAAAAAACAGGTTTATACCTGTGATACCCAATGAAATTTTCTTAAATCTCTATTAAGAATATTATTAACTATTGTATAAAGAATTTAAAAAATGAAATTATATATATATTTTTTAATACATTTTTCATGACTCAAAAGTACCTAAATTTGAGATTTTTCGAACCCTTAAAATATCTCTAAAAATATTAACCTTATCGCGATAAGGCGTTCCTCTATAGTCTACAGCATTGCCGCCGTCGAACCACTCATGTTATGTGCTATATAATCTAAGTATAAAAGTAATAAGTTGTGTTGTTTTTAATTTTCTATTATAAAAAAGTTTTTAATATTTCATACATTTAGAAAAATTATAAAAATATATATGTAGATGTACATATCAGTATTTATTTTTTGATTTCAAAAATTAAAACTAGCAATCGTTCTACGTATATATAGTAGATATTATAATATATGTATATTATTATTTTTTCTTTACATAGTAGTTTGAACGAATACCCACTAAATACTTTTGCTGATAGCGTTAGTACTATTTTGTTGTGTTTTATCTTATCATAACATTTTCGACACGCCATTGTTTTCCATTACAATTTTAACCGACTTTAAAGGTCGAGTGTTTGTTACTAGTGAAGGTTCTCAATTCCGGACTATGGTTTTGCGAATCGATTTTGTAATAGACAAAATTGCTTATCGCTTTGTATATGCTCTGACTTTTTGTTATCATATTCGATTTGACCAATGACGTTGCGTTTCAACTAAATACATACTATAAATTTACCATCTATATTTGCACTTTTTCATAATTTCTTTTTCTTAATCAAAAAGAAATTACATTAAGCATATATATATATATATATATCCTCCTGGGACCCGAACTATAAATTATTAAATTTAAGCAGCGTTTTTCTATTTACTGGGCTAATTGACGTTACACTTAGTGTTGCCCAAATTCAGTCTTGGTCTTGCAGTCTTGGTCTTGTTCTTGCGTTTTTGCAAGACCAAGACCAAGAACAAGACCGCGTATTTTTAGCAAGACCAAGACCAAGACTGACCGTGCAAGACTTGAGCAAGAACAAGACATAGCCTGCAAGACTCTTGCGTCTTGCAGCTAGGACTTAGCGCTATTTCACTGAGTAGTTAGGTATAACAGTTCGGTGTATAGGTAGGTACGCTTAGGAATTCTATGAGACGCAAAAAACTGTATCAAAGAATATGAAAAACTGGACCTATGCGCATTACGACTAATACCATAAACATAGCGAATAAAAAAATTATTAAAATCAAACTGAGTGCATGCATAGTTATGTTTTAACCATCGGCACTTTGATAATGCGGCATCAAAGGTTTTGTACTTACTTCTCAAAGAAATTTGCCGCTTTTCGGAAGTACATGGTTATGATACACGCGCCGGCGGCTTCTTTTGAAATCTAAAACAATCGTTGCCGCCACGCCGAAATCATAAATAACATTTGACACTATTTGATTGCCGCCATAGGGCGTAGGTATACTCATGCAAAATAAGGGCCTGTGCGCACTGCGATATTTCACCGCGCGATTTTTATTCTCGCGTATTATATTCCGTGATCGAAATTGTACTTATTACGCACTGCGAATAAAATTTCGTACGATTTTTGTCAGTTTGATGCAGTTCCCGACTGAGACAAACGTCTAAAATGATAAATCTACTATATCTACTGAGACATTTTAGTAATCTAAAATGATGTTTTTCTACATTAAATATCAAGAGCTGCGAAAATACAGTAAAAAGTTTTTCGGATATTACAGAATGACTACAAAATCATTCGATAAACCAATAGCGTCGGTGCACGACTGAGCGAAACGCGCGAATTTTATTTCGCAGTGCGGCCATAGCCATACATATTATATACTGTACAAAACTTTCGCGCGGAAATAATCCGCGCCGCATCGCGTTCAATTTGCATCAAATCACAGATTTTTTTTCCGCGCGAATTTTTAACCGCCAGTGCGGATACTCCTATAAGATTCATTGTGTTACAGAATTGCGGGAATAAAAACGTGCGGTGAAATATCGCAGTGCGGACAGGCCGTAATTTCGAATTTTTTTACACGCTTTATATTATTGTTTGATTTGCGGCGGCATCCTTATCATAGAGCCGGCACGTGGCGAGGCGGCGCGGTAGAAAGCAAGGAAACGTACTATAAATAAAGGAATTATTTTAATTCCAGTCATTTCCAATTGAGCTGTGCTTCGAGTCTAACTTAATAATTGTTTTTACTAAATCTCGTTGTTTTCTAAAAACGTATCACGTGTACAATTTAATATGAGTATTGAGTGACGAAGATTCAAATTATTCTAGTCCGAGTAACGAGAGTTTGAGTCACAGATCTAAAAGACCCAAAAGCAAATTTGAGGAATTTTTCGAAATAATTCATGCATCCCAAACTGCCTTCTGTAAATTGTGCCAACATAAAAAGATTGAAATAAAAATGAAAAACAGAAACACTTCAGGCTTAAGGAAACATCTAATATCTTTCCATAAAAAGGAATCAGAAATATTTCTTCCTGTTAAACCAAAATTCAGTGGAGATATCACAAGCTTTTTAGTAACCGCTGGAAGAAGTGGACAGGTAAGAATATTTATTTAACAGTTAAAAGAATTTTAACTCCGCGTAGCTATTCATGCGATACTTTCAAAAACGCCATTAACTTACGTAAGTACACTGATAGAAGGATTTTTTTGGGAGTAATAAATCAATTTATTACAAACTTTTTAAGGTATCTTTTTGGATGGAAGAAATATTTTTTTACTGTTACCAACACTTTTTAGGATTAATTAAATCGCTTTTTTATTAAAACAAAAATTTTTTTACTGTTAAAAAGCTTTAATGTATTGAAAAAATTATTTATTTCCACCAAATAAGATTTGTTTACGGTTAACAAATATTTTATTTGTGGTCATTGTTGATAGATGGCGGCACTCATGCGTAGCTTTGTATGTATATATAATAGCCATCGTATCATAGACTAATGCAAAACTAACGATTAAATGTTACACAAATATCTATTTCAGGATTTTCAGGTGGTATCAAATATGATATGAGTCCAATACTTCATAGTGAATTGTTTCGTCAGATATACCTGAAATCATTGTAAATGGTTAATATTATTTCCAATAGTGCCCAAAGTATCACATTTGATATGCTCAATTTATCGTATGATATTCACGCTAAAATAAAATTTTACGTTATTTACTTACGGAAAATCCAAAGAAAAGAAAAAAGAGAGATTAATCTTTATAAACAATAGTAAATTATTTAGGAATCCATAATTTAATAATTACTATGTATATAGGATATAATATATAAATTCAAAACCACTAAATCACACGCATATTCCATATTATTTATGCACCTTCTACAATATACCTTTTCCTCGAGGCCTCCTAGAACATTGAAGAACAGCCCATCACTAAGGAAATCATTATTTTTAAGGTGATTTTAAAATCGGTGTAATTTTTCAATTCAAAAGTTATTTTAAATACGTAGTTTATTGTAGGTAAATTAGTATTATAGATTTATTGTTAATCATTATTTGATACGAGAATTGTTCTTCTGTACTTATTTACGTGACCATTGAGCATCGTCCCGGAAGTCAAGGTCTGACTTCTCGTAAGTCAAACACAGTATATACATATTCATACATAAGTATACGATTTTTCATCATCATCCTTAAGCATCTTAGAAACTCAACCTCTTTTTATACATTTTGTTAAATGTTTCATAAATAAAAGAACCATCTACATAATAGTTGAAGTATTATTTTATTTATTTTGTATTAACAGCAAGTAAAAACATAAACACAATCCGATGTAGAAGAATAAATATTATAATTGTAAATAATAACCGAAGTGGGAAAATATACATTTCAATTGTATACTATACATGTAAACACGCTTTATTGACAACTATAAAAAGTTTTATTTATTTAAAACTATTATACTCGTATAGTTTTTATTAACTAGAGACGTACTCTCGTTTCGCTCAGGTACGTTCCTGGGTCGTAGCATATGTGTTACTCCAGTTTAGGGATGTTACGGAGTTTTTAAATTTGGTTTGTCGGATCGGAATCGGAGGCGGAGGCAGAAGAGAGATGTGTTATATCACAAGTTTAATAAAATAAAATTACAAACATTATTCAGTCTCTTTATGCTCAGTTCAAAAAATAATATAAAAAAATAATACTGGGTGTTGAAAATAAAAATAATCGAATTTTCTTAAATCTTAAACAGTACAAGTAGTAAATTAAATCCACCTTCGATTTTAACTTCCGATTCAAATTTATCGAAACCGAAATCGGAATCGTAATTGCAAAATCAATCGAGAGTTCCGATTTCGATTCCGACCTTTCGGAATCGGAATCGAAGCTCTATAACATCCCTGCTCCCGATCATTCTACTTGTGTGCTCATCTAAATCCGACCATCCGTTCAAGCATGAATGATGAACAAACATACACAAATAAGCTTACGTATTTATAATTATAGTTCGATTTAAGATTAAACTATTAATTATTTCAGATTCGGAGTCACCAGCGAACGCCGTCTGGGTCACGGGATTTCAAAGAAGCGACCAAACGTGATGCTCTCGCCAGGCTCGAAGTGGAACTGGATCGTCTCGTCTCATGTTTACCGGAAACCAAGAAGGTTCTAGTAGATAAAGAGTTCCAAGGGTTCAAGAACCTCTTTCGTAGATTTTTGGCTGAACGTAAGTATATACATATGTATTTACATAGAACTTAGTACATGACACAGTTTTCAGAAAATATTTTTCCAAAGTATTTTCTTAAATTTATAGTAAGCAATATATTTATAGTAAGTTGTAATTGTAATATTGTAATTGTTGCAATGCATACGTGAATAAAATTGTTGGCTTCTGTAATCTGCGCTTTTCGAAATCTCACATTTGGGCAAGTTCTAACCCTGAATGAGATGGGTTAAGGTTGTAGTCCACCGAGCTGGAAAAGTGTAGGTTGGCGGCCTTCACACGTCTTTCGTCACCTAGTTAGATCCTCTGAGACATGCTGATTTCCTGACGATGTTTTCCTCAACCGTATTAGCAAGTACCTAATTATGTTGAAAATAATTCATATTACGCATATGAACAAGTGCGATATCTAAATTTGAACTGTTTTACTTTGCTTTCCAAGGAACACGTTTGACGTTGCCAATATGCTAACTGTTATCTGGCTTAAGAATATCGATGTTTTGATATGGAATATGCGAGTGATTTAATCCCTCCCTGACCTCGGACACGCCGGCGTTACAGTTAACAATAGATTTCTTAGAAATTTAATTAATTTCTTAGAAATTTACCTTGAGGTGTTAAATAAAGATGATATTTTTTTTTTAAATCTTTATTTGATTTTGAATTAAGCCTTCATTAATATGTTTTAATACAATGTCTTTTTCGTTAAGAAAATAATTATTAAAAAGTGCAAATATAGGTGGAAATTCAAAGTAGTTGAAACGCAACGCCATTGGTCAGACCGAATGTGACGTCAAAGTATATTATAACTGAGCGATTAGCGATTTTGTCGCTACAAATTGAATCGTTATTTTTCTGTGTACTGTGACGTCACGCCAAGGCGAGAAATGGCGGGCGTTTAAAGTATCCGTATCGGTACGATATAATTTTTTATACTATATTTTAGTTTTTGGAGTTAGATATTTTTTTACAATTATATATCGATGTACCTAAGCTTTTGTATAAAAAAAAATCACGCATATTCCCAATTAAAATGAATACAAAAATATTAACATATTATATAAGGAAGCGAATATAATATTAATATTACTAAATAATATTTATTGCTGATACTAGTTCAGGATTTTAAAGACTTAACAACTTCTATGTACGAGTAATGTTATTTTTTTCAAGGTTACTCACGACGTACATAAAAACAGTAAATTTATCGTTTTCCAATTATGAAGGCTGTCAGTAATAAAATCATGAAATTTGACGATGGTGGTAGCGAATACGATTTTTATGCGGTGAAACATTTTTAACTAAAGAAATCTATTGTTAACTGACACGCCGCGCCGGCGTGTCCGCGGTCGTGGAGGGATTAAAGACCAGGGCTATCTTTTTTTCTATAAATCAGAAGTATAGTCTAAGTACAATTTCTTTTTATTGATCTTATTGCTTAATCTCAGACTAATGAATAATATAGATAATCTAATAAAAATGAGATAGCTAAAGATTTCATCCCGTATGTCACAACTCTCTGTTAATAAGAGGAATGCAGCTAACTTCATCATGTCGCTTTTTGGCTGTCGGTGTGCGCTCGCATCGTAAAAATTTGACTCTATAATTTTTTCCAAACGTGCCAAAAGAAGTATAACTCCAAAAATAGCTAGGTGTATAAAAATCAAGGTTCTGAGTCAACACGATAAAAAGATATGGGCAAAGTACAAAAATTTATCTTAATTTAAAATTAACAATTCTAGGTTATTGATATACGAGTAATTATAAGGTTAAGGATAAAAAACAAATTAAACGTTAACAAATTGAATATATCATTATAAAGCAGTTATGATTTTTTATAAATGCCGTTATATTTTTTATAACACGTTAAAAATACTCTTTGTTTTAAGATGCTAGGACAGTTGCAAAGTAAATTGATAAATTAGTAATTTATATTTATAAGCTTAAATTTTTTTATACATATATTATAATAGAGAAGATAAAATATATATTATGTATGTAAATAAACATATATATTATATAATAAGTAATGTATTTATATAATATGTATGTTTATTTGCATACATAATATATATTTTATCTCTTTATTTAAATAACGGCCCTTCTATCTTAGTGCTATTGGTTGCCTGGAAGATCATCATCATAGGGCCACATCTTGTACATTTTCCAACTATTCTGTATTTATTTCTCTTTACTGGGTGTACAATAAAGGATATTATATTTTTTTATGTCATTCTGTTAGCTATATGATTTTTAATACAAAAATATTTTCCAGAGGGACCTTCGGTAACATGGGAGAAGATCCAGAAGCTTCCAGAAGGCGCAGTCACAGACTATTCGACTCTAAAAATACCGACCACCGATAACGTTCATCTCATGCTGGATAAACTCGTGGTGGTAAAACTGAATGGTGGTCTAGGCACGTCCATGGGGTGTAAGGGACCCAAATCAGTTATTCAAGTCAGAAATGAACTAACCTTCTTGGATTTGACCGTACAGCAAATCGAGGTAAGTTAAATATATTGTTACGTTCGGTTTACTGTAAGGTACTTTGGTGTCATTTTAAATTATTTTTTAATGATTTTTTTTATATATGTCTGCTATGCGATATTTTCTCCAATAAAAAACTGATTTTCATGTTTTAGTGAATTGATTATCTATACTACATATAATAAAACAGTAACTTAACGAAATCGATGTGCGCGTTTTAAAAAAGTACTGAACCGATTTTAATGGAATTTTGTGTAGTGATAACTTATTAATCGGGACAATATTTAGAAGACCTTTTACTAGTGGAAAATTTTTCATTCCCACGGGAAAACTCGATAACTGGTTCTATCTAATTTTCTTATTTTACATTTCTACGACGAGTTACGTCAAAACAATGTACTAGAAAATTGTATTTCTCAATAAGGCATACAGAAAAATTGCAATAGCATAAGTCTTTCTCCTAAGGTACACTCGCAATAACTATTCATATGTATCTAAAACGTCACTAGGGACGCACCCGAGCGAAACGGGGGTACCGTTTCACGTCACCGTTTCAAGTCACTCGTAACAAAATAAGGATAAACTATCGGCAAAATCTCAATCGCGTTGTACGTTTTCTTTAAAAGTAATTAGTTATAATTATTATGTAAATTTCATTTCAGCACTTAAATAAAACATACAAATGCAATGTTCCACTCGTTTTGATGAATTCATTCAACACGGATGAAGATACGCAGAAGGTGATTCGTAAATACAAAGGTTTAAAGCTGGACATACACACATTCAACCAGTCCTGCCATCCGAGGATCAATAGAGAATCACTTTTGCCAATTGCCAAGAATCCCGACGTACATTCGGATATTGATGCGTGAGTGTATTCTTTATTTTTATATAGTGCATTTACCTTTATAATATCTAGTATGGAAGAATCCATACTTAATATTATAAATGTGAAAGTGTGCTTGTTTGTTTGCTTGTTTGTTGGTTTGTCCTTCTTTCACGTCGAAACAGAGTGCCGGAATGGCGTGATTTGTGTGGAGATAATTGGAGGGCTGGAGAGTGACATAGGCTAAATTTTACCGCGGGATATTATCTAATTCCCACGGGAAAACACGTTATAATATAACCCACAACAAGTCATCATACATATGAATAGTATGTAATCGCTAGTTCGTAATATAATTCTTCCACTTTCTTTAGTGTGGTATTTATTTACTTTGTTGAATTTCTTTAAAGTTTCTGCCTACAGTACTTACTGTATTTGTAAGCAATATTAAAAAAAATACAACCGACTTGAAAATCTCCTCCTTTTTGAAGTCGGTTGAAAATTCTTTGAAAATACAATGTAGACTATTTTGACAATGTACATTTTTACAATAGGATATCAGAAAAAGTTCTAAAGCTCATTGGAGCTGGAGTCCATTGGGACTTAGACTAAAAATATTATTTTAGAAAAAAATTATAATATATAAAGTTATTTCAGAAAAGATCTAGTCCTGCTATATATTTCACCGGTTTATCTCGGGATTGAGGTATTTTCTTTTCGAACTTGCTATATTCTTATATAACCTCATTGATATTCAACAAAAACAAGATATTTATGACAAGTATTTGAACATTGGATTGTTCAAGGTTTTAGTTCCTTCTAATGCGAATTAAAATGATTAATTCTTTCTAATCGATATTACGTAATTCCGATGAGATATCGATTTGCAGTTAGTCATATACTTTAAATGATAGTGAAGATTTATATACGAGTAATTGTACGATAAAGGAAAACGTATTATCTATCTTCTATATAAATAAAAATGAATATTGAAAAGCGCATAACTCAAGAATGGCTGGACCAATTCGGCAATTTTTTTTCGTATGTTCCTTAAGGTCCACGGAAGGTTCTAATAAAGAGAAAAATAAAAAATAAAAATTATTATATGGCTAACGCTGGCTAATAACTATTTATATCTATTTAAAACGTACCTAGCGACAAACCCGAGCGAAGCGAGGGTGAGCCGCTAGTTTTAAATAAAACTGTATTTTCGGATTTATTTAGATTTTTGGTTTCCGACGTTTCAAATGCTTTACAGCAATCATGGACACGGGAGAGACTAAGGTTTTAGACGTCTTAAGATAAGATATCGTTTTATGTATATTATAATATATACAGTTCATAGTTTAAACGATAGTGTAGATTTATATAATTATACAATAATGGATAATGGAAAATATATTATCTCTATATCAGCCTCATCGTCTCTTAATAGAAACGATGACTAACATAAGTGTTTTAGCCTCTATAATTTCAAAATGAAATTTGTAATTTTTTTCCAATAAAATAGCCCATATGTTAGTTTGTAGTTAGTGTACTTGTCGTGCCAGCGGTCGCGGGTTCGAGTACCACTGGGGGCATTCATATGTGAGATGAGCATGAATGTTTTGTATTCCAGTTATAGTATTGATATTTATAATATATATGTATGTATTTAAAGTGATATATGTGTAGTGTATCAACTATCCATAACACAAGTCTCGTAGCTTACCATGGAACTAGATGGTGCTGTGTGATAATGTCCCAACATATTTATTTATTATTATATGCCAGATACGTTTAATGAACATGTAAAAATTTAACTAAGTACATTCAACTTACTAATATATGTCATATTTTAATATTCCCACAGATGGTACCCACCAGGTCACGGCGACTTCTACGAATCCTTTTACAATTCTGGTCTCCTCCAGAAATTCATAAAGGAAGGCAGAACTTACTGCTTCATCAGCAACATCGATAATTTGGGCGCAACAGTTGACTTGAACATTCTCAATCTGCTCCTAAACCCTGAACATGAAGCTTCATCAGAGTTCGTCATGGAGGTCACAGACAAAACACGAGCTGACGTGAAGGGAGGCACTCTAATACAATATGAGGACAAGTTACGACTGTTGGAAATCGCTCAAGTCCCAAAAGAGCATGTCGATGACTTCAAGTCAGTGAGCCAGTTCAAATTCTTCAACACGAACAATTTGTGGGCTAAATTGGGCGCAATCCAAAGAGTAGTTGAACAAGGATCACTAAACATGGAAATAATAGTGAATAACAAAAGTTTGGCAGATGGTGTAAATGTTATACAATTGGAAACAGCTGTGGGTGCAGCGATGAAGTGTTTTGAAGGTGGAATTGGAGTGAATGTACCTAGAAGCAGGTTTCTTCCAGTAAAGAAAACGTCTGATCTTCTACTTGTCATGTCCAATTTGTACAGTTTGTCGCATGGCTCGTTAGTAATGTCTAATCAAAGGATGTTCCCTTCGACGCCGCTGGTCAAACTTGGTGACAACCATTTTGCGAAGGTCAAGGATTTTCTAAACAGATTCGCAACTATACCCGATTTGATTGAGCTCGACCATTTGACAGTGTCTGGTGACGTTACTTTTGGAAGAGGTGTCTCTTTGAAGGTAAGTGTTGAGAAAAATGTTATATGTTTTTGTAGTGAATATTTCTATAGGCAGGTGTGGATGGGGAGTAAATTCATGTAAGTCGTCATCGACATGGTCTCGTGACGTGTTAACGTTAACGCTCGGAGTACCGATAGGTGTCAAAACCAGATAAATGTAAACAGTTTTAATTAACAAATTTTAATTTAAGATCAAACAATTAATTTGAATATTCAGAAATAACAACTGTTTGTTTATAGTTTTAAGTTTTCACTTCTGTCGGCAGTCCTCATGACTGCTTTTATTTTTTTTTAACTATTAGTCCCGTAATATCAACGGCAACATAAACCACTAATGAGAGAGATAATCTGTACTTACTTCGTGTCTTCTCCATTCTACGTGACACTGTCGAAGTAATGGGTGCGCTTTGACGCCATTAATAAAAAAATTGAATTGAATCAATCTGTCATTGTTATTACGACCCTTAAAATAATATATAATTATAGGAGTAATTTAAATATCAGATCCATCAGTATCGATTAATTATTATTATAGTATCGATTCATCAAGATATTTTAATGAAGAATGTTATTTTTTTATTTTGAAATAATTAACAGCAATGGCTAAGTTTAACTATTTGGTTTTATATTACTTGTATGATATATTTTTTCAGGGTACCGTCATAGTGATCGCAAACCACGGAGACCGTATCGACATACCATCAGGCGCTGTACTGGAAAACAAAATCGTATCCGGCAATTTACGTATATTAGACCATTAGTGGATAATATCGATATTTTAAATCAATAAATAACATTATCATCGATTATTCGAATCGAAACTCGATTGTTTTCTCTAGTTGATGCTGATTCAGCCGAGTCTATCAAACATCAATGTTAGAGTTAATCGATTCCGAATAATCGATAATTTTGATAGTTAATCGATTATTAAACATTCGGTAAATAAAATTGGCACTGCGTTCGTAATATTTATGGTAGGCACCGCACATTGTCGACTTCTTTGTTACTGAAGAAAGATATTGTGTAAATATATTTGTATATAAGGCAATAAACTTAAGTAAAGGTAATAAACCGGTTTTGTTTATTTAAATTAAAAAAACAACAATATATAAAAAAAATATATCTCACATGAAATGAAATCTACAATGTGCTGTGGTTTTTAGGGATTTTACGATAGTTTTAGTCTTTAGTGGCATTAGAGTTTATTTATCAATTATGTATTTTTTCTGAATGTTGGTATCTAGTTTTATATAATACTCGCATATAATAATATATTTAAAATAACTTAAAATGTTTAATTAGTTAGTTTTAATTATTATTAATAAATAAGTACAAAGAGTGTAGCCATTCTCCATTTTGCTTAAGTTCTGAACGTTAGTTACAGTACGTTGTGAAAAATCTAAATATTTTGGTCTTAGGGCTTATGTACATTATGTTTTATAAGCGCGCGTGTATTTTGCGTTGATATCTTATTATAAAAATCGGTCAAGTGCGAGTCGGACTACCACAAAGATCTCATATAGTCTCCGTATAAAATGGCTGTGACATACAAACAGACGGATATGACGAAATTATAAGGCCCTCTGGCTACGGAACCCTGAAAATGCAGATTACTTGCGTTCATATCGATATAATCGCGTTACACGTGCGTTTTAAACTCATCGTGTGTATCGACCCTTAGAAACCACATTTTAGTACAATATTATCTACTTTTGAACTAGGGACATATTTTAGGAACACGTTATTTAGAATTTTTGTTGTTATATAATTTTATAGTATATTGTTTTATAGTTCATATTGTTTATGTCAAGCAAGAGTTTTATACTTTTTTATTTTTCAATGTTTTCGCAATTTCAAATTTTTTCAAACTTTATATACATGTGTTTTATATATATATTACATAGATGTATGTGGTTTTGATTAAAAATGCATATAGATAAGTTTTTTTTAAAGGTTGTTTTATCGTATCGCTCAAAGTTCTTAATAAAAAAGGATATATGCAAAAAAATTGTTTCTTTAATCCTGCCCATCTACTATACAAATAAATAAAATTTAAGTGCCTATTTGTAATGTCATTATAACAGCTTTTTACCAAAAGGAATATGAAATTATATAGAACACTATATAGTGTTCTATATAATTTCATATTCCTTTTGGTAAAAAGCTGTAAAGTATATACTTACACAACACAATTTTTAAAATTTTTGTCTGTCTGTCTGTTTGTTCTGGCTTATCTCTGAAACGGCTGGACTGATTTTGACGGGACTTTCACTGGCAGATATCTGATGTTATATGGAGTAATTTAGACTACTTTTGTCTATAAAAAGAATTAGAGGGTTTCTCTCAAAAAACGCACCCGAGCGAAGGCAAACGTTAAATCACTAGTATTTTAATAAAATTGTGATGTTTTAGTTCATACAAAGAACGTACAGAGAACAGAAAAAGTTCGTTCCTGACTCCTATACCTAGCCTAGGTCTTAGTGGATTTAAAAATAGGTAAAGTTTATAAAAAAAACATTTTATTAAATAAAGTTTTATTAAAAGTAATGTACAATTAAAATATCTTAAACCATAATTATTAATAAAAATAATAATTCAATTATTTATCTATGCAACTTATAAAAACTACGATATTCTGTGTTCAAAATAGTAGCTATATAAAATACGAGTATTTTTGTCAGACGCTACGTTGTACACATTAAAAAATTAATATTTTTAAATATAAATAACTACTTTTTATTCAGCTCCGCTCGCATGTGGAGCGGGATGAAGAATAGTAGTCTATCGTCATCTCAGTGCTTATTAGTCCAAACCACAGACGTAGAGTATGGACTGAGCAATACTCTCATGAAATTGACCACTCTCTAGAAAGAGAGGCAGCGACCGTGCGGCCAATATTTGTCTTTTATTCCAATTTGAATATATAAATAGTATGAAAAAAATATATTATATTATAATTTATTAAAAATGATAATATAATGGAATGAATGGTTAGAAATATCTATGTTTATTAATCGTATTTCAATGAATGCAAGAAAACTTCTGGCGGCACATTCGTTTTGTCTCTGTCGCGCCTATCAACTATTTTTAGCTGACGGCTGGCAAACAAGCACTCAGCCAACCACTCTCTATGTCTATGGTACAAACAAGAGTTTAAAACAGAATTATTAACTTTTAGATGTCAATTCTATTGGTATAAAATAAACATTTTATTAATAAAAGCCGAAAATAACAGCTCAAACTCGTTCGTGTTTTCCTCACAATACGTAATACTAGCAGAATGTATTGCGCATGTTAACATAGTTCTAAGCCATTATGAAAAAAAGCCGAAAAGATGTATTTTATCTATATATGTATATAAAACATAAACCTTAGAAATAAAGCTTTGTATAAACATAATATTATTAAATTATATAAATAATAGAGGAAAAAAGTCTACTGTAAAGTACAATAGTATTGGTAATTTGAACATATAAGCACTAAGGTAATGCAGTATGTTTAATATGTTAGGACATTAACACACAGCTCCATCTAGTTCCATGGTAAGCGCAAAGCTTGTGTTATGGATACCAGATGTTTGATACATTACATATATTTACTTTAAATACATACACATTATAAATATAAACACCCATGACTGGAGTACAAACATTCGTGTTCATCAGACAAATGAATGCCCTCAGCGGGACTCGAACCCGCGACCGATGCCACAGCAATTAGGGTCAATACAAACTGAATGATTGCACCATGGTATTACTAGCTAACAGGCATGTCGCTAGTGACGAGCATCTCGGGTGCGGGGGGGTACCGACTAGCAAGTATACTGAAGACGCCCGACAGCACCGCGAGCACTGCACTCACGGCGCCTATCGACCACACTGAGAATTTGTGGAAGAGACACACACCTTTCTCCTCGAAGGCACACGTTAGATCTGTAAAAAAGATGATAATTTATTATCACAAAGCTTTGGCGCAATTTTGAAAACTACTTATACAAAAGACAAATTAAACTTTTTATTAAATATATAGGTATGTTTGTTTCGGAAAGTAAATGAATGTACATACTAGCGACTAACCTTCGCTTTGCTCGTGTTGGTCCCCAGGTACGTTTTAACGTTTAATATGGAATAGAAAAACTTTGTGAAAACATTAACATATCTATCCCACAGGAGCTGCACATTTTTCCGGGATAAAAAGTAGCCTATGTGTTTTTCCAGACTATAATCTATCTCTGTGCGAAATTTTATTCAGATCCGTTCAGCCGTTCTGGCGTAATTGCGTATCAAACATCCATCCATCCAAACTTTCGCATTTACAATATTAGTAGGGATAATAAGAATTTAAAGAGATGAAAAACGTATATTGCCATATTTCAGATTTACATAATAAGTATCTACTTAATATCAATCTATTTGAACTGTTAATGAAACTTATCTAATGGGATTTGACGCGTTGTTTGAGCTGAGCATGTATGTTGGATATTATTGAAAAATGAGTACCATATCTAACAGTCCCGCTGTTTCTTTCGCCAGTTTTTCTCCTGTCTGAGGCTTCTTTCAACACTGGTAGTAGACTCATGACGTTCAGTAAAAAATTGTAATTACTTAATATGGAATTAAACATTTTGCAATTGTATACTTACGACTTATTACCATATATAAAGCGTGTCCGAGGACATGAGATAACAATCCGATGAGAGCGAACGTGACGCCTATTGCTATAGGCTTGTCCCGAGCTCGTACAGCTCGCAACGCCACCATGCCTTGCATCAGGAACGACGCGGCTGGAATCAACGCATAGATTTAGTGAGAATATACTTACTAAAAGGCAGTGGTAGCCCAGTGGTAACGCGCTCGCTAAATCCCGGGTCTCGCACCTCTAATATTTTCATGTGAGAATCATTTCTAACATGATTACCACTTGCCTTATGGTGAAGGAAAACATCGTGAGGAAACCTACATGTCTGAGAGAACCTAGCAAGTTTTCGAAATACTTGTGAAGTCCGCCAACCCGCACTTGGCCAGCGTTGTGGACTATGGGGGGGAGGGGGACCTCGTATTGAAGGAAGGCCCGTGCTCAGCAGTGGGACTTTTTAAAGGGCTGAATACAATACAACACTTACTAAAAAGACCGAAATATTTACTTAAGTTATATTTAGAGGATATTCATAAAACATGACCCGCAAACTAGCTTACTTTTTAGTTTTTCAGAATGTAAAGAAAAAATAAAGCTAGTTGAGTTTGTAACAAAGCAAGTGTAAAGTCATGAAAGCTAGATTGAATATGTAAAACGGATTAAATTATATTAATATTATAAATGTTAAAGGCCAGTGGACGGATTTGGATGAAATTTAGTAGGTAGGATAAACTACTGTAAGTAATAAAATTTGTTAAAAAGTAGCGCTCCCTGTACAATACATACGAGTATTAAGGCACATGAACGAAGCGAGTCATTATTGTTTATTAATAAAAAAAATATTAAAAATAAAAAATACAACTGCGTAAAAAGCGAACTAAATAGAAGGATCAAGTTAACGAGGGAAAATACATAGCCAGACTCACATTAAGTATAAAACGTGCATACATACAGGTCAATCTCTTTTGGGCTCCTCCACAGTCGGTAAAAAAGAATTTAATTAAAATGAGCTTTTTGTTAGACTAAGGAGTTAAATTAGTGTGTTACCTGTTGTTGCAAGGACTAAGGTGAAGAAAACCAAGTAAAGGTTATACGTGAGCCAGCAGTCAGGTAGAGTGCAGCTGCCTCTGAGGGCGCGGTGAGGACCGCAGTTGCAGTTCTCGAACAGCCTATAATACCAATACATATGATAAAATTGTAACGAAGCCGAATCTGTACATTAAATATGTTTTGGAAATATTTAATGAATCTTATTGAAATAGTCATTATTTATCATTCATCATTCAAATCTATAGTTTTTATAAATATATTAATGCCTTTAAATTTGTATCCAAAAGGATAGAATGGATATTTAATTAAAAAACTTACAAAAACCCATTAAGATCTTCATACTCCTTGCAACCGGCGTGACACGGTGAGAAGTAAGTAGTGGAGGTGTTCAAAATGCACACTGGGCTGAACCCGTAATTTTCTGATATACAGCTGAAAGAAGTAAAATAATAAAAAATCGATGCTATCATAATTTCAATACGCATAGGATTGCAATAATATCAACAATAAACAGTTAATTCAATTAAAACCTCTTAGGCTTTTTACTGGATGCAAAAGAAACAGAATAAAGTGATAAACTACTAAAGTTAAATATAATTACTACTTTTTTTTAAATCTGACTGGTAACTTTTTCTTTTTTTTTCCTTTATTATCATCAAAAGATTTACATATTAAAAAATATATAGGTATATAACATTAAAAACCGCTGAGATTTATGTAATGCTACATTATTCGGTACTAAATATATTACTAGACTATTAAATAATACGTATTCCTATCATTTAAGTACAGCACTTAATTGTTCAATCAATCATAATAGATTTACCCGCAGTCAATACTGCAGTCGGGTTGTTCATAGCTTCCATTGAAGCCTGCCATCTCTCCAGTCCTGCAGTGGAGGCCGGTGAGCACCGCGAAGAAAACAGCCACCAGCACACAACACGCGCCACCCACTTTAGAAGCGGTATTTGATTTCACAGCATCCCTCCTACGGACGGAAAACCTCATCCTAAATATCTGTAATAGACGAATGAGATAGCTCTTGGGTTTTTTATCTATGTATTTTTTTCTCCTTTTGACTTTTAAATTAAAACAATACGCTTGTTTTATTCTAGGTTCACTAAGTAATAAATTCTAATTGTCTTATTTGGCCATCGATCAAAAAAGTACTAGATACATAATCCCGTGCAAAAGTTCTCTTAAAACTGCCACTAATTATGTTAAGGTAATCATTTTAGTTGAAATAAAGATACAACAATGTAAATTGAACCTTAAATGCAACGCTTAAAGTTTTTTTCACAAAAAAATTAAAATAAGAGCGCCACGTTTAATTGAGCGCTTATTCGGTGAGGACAGTTTTTATCACTGATTGTGTATTTAGTACTTTTTGATGGATATACTTGGCTTGAGCAATTTTGAAGATTAGACATTGAATGATACCTAATTGGCAGTGAGACTTAAACTTTCTCTTTTGTTGTCTCAATGATTGTTAAGTGTATTTCATCGTTGTTATGGAAATCCATTACTTTAATCTCATTATCCATGAATATATTAAACAGTTGTTTATTTTGAAGTAAAAATCAGATAACATTTTTATATATCTTCTGTACCTATCTCAGGTAATTTATATGTCAAATTTAAATTCAAATAAATTATACATTTTCAGCATTCAATTATTACATTTTTTACTTAGTATCATGATGAGTTTATCACCACCTTGAAAAGAAAAAGCCTCAGTCCTGTGAAGTTTGAAGAATTGCTTAACGAAAATCAGCGTATTTTTTTTTAAACAAAATTATACATAAAAATAATTTTCTAAAATAGTCATCATCTCCCTGCCCATTACTTGGGGTCGGCGCAGTACATCTTCCGTTCTGCTGATAAGATTTGGCAAAAGTTTTACGACCGGCCGCCTGCCTGATGTCAACCCTCCTTGGAAATCTAAAATAGTCTAGAGGCATACATCATTCCCAAAGTGTATAATCTTGCAATTTAAAGCTATAACAATATTTTTCAGATGATACTAACCGAAACAAAGAAGATAATCACGAGGGAGCGAAATATGTCCATAATAGTACGTGTGGTGCGAGGATCTTGCCTTAATGTCTCCACGTGAAATTTTGCCTGTGGATGTGAAATAAAATATATTTATACATACCATGGTCAGTAAATTCATCAAAGCATCGTTATAAACTGTGCGAAATAACTGACATAAAAAATCTACTTAAATTAACCTTTTTTTATTTAAATAAAACTATCTTTTCGGATTATTTCGCGGATTTATTTTGATTTTTGTTTCCTGACGTTTCGAATGCTTTACAGCAATCATGGTCACGGGAGAGACTGAGGTGTTAGATGTCTCTAAGGTATAGTTGTTACAGACATTGCCTTTTGACTTTTTTTATTGCTTAGTAGGAAGAAAGGAGTGGAGATTTCATTGAACTATAGTGTACAAATACGTTAGTAGGTACCTACATAATATCTCAATAGAAGACTCTATTTTTTTAATTACTCATAGTATAATTTTTTGTTAGTGTATGTCTTTACATGTTTGTTACTTCTTGATGCTGGAACGTCTGGACAAATTTGGATGAAATTTAGTACACAGATAAATGCGGGAGTAACACAGAGTAGTAGTAGCAGAGTAAATAATTCTAAAATTATCGTATATAAGTGCAAGGGCTGTTAATGTATATGATTAATTCATTTTTTATATAAACTCTACTAAAGATATATGTAATACTTTCTTAGATTTACGCTATTATTTGAAATTGTAAATAAAAGTATCTTTTCGGATTATTTCGCGGATTTATTTTGATTTTTTTTTCTCAAAGGCATTACATATTAACAAGTACCTATATAAGACGTCGAGACGCCTAAAACCTTAGTCTGTCCTGTGACCATGATTGCTGTAAAGCTGTAAGGCATTCGAAACGTCAGGAACCAAAAATCAAAATAAATCCGCGAAATAATCCGAAAAGATAGTTTTATTTAAAAGGTGCATGTGTTAAAAAAATAAACTCCAAGGTACCTGTATAGACGCTGTGTCATAATTAACGTATCCAAAGAGAGCGGTATTGAGTAAAGAGAGCGCTACCGTCTGTATCATCAGAGCTTTGTTGCTCAACATCCGTCCGATCGGTTTCAGTATACCTAAAAAAATAAGTAATATAATTTTTATACATATTTATAGTACAGCATTATACAGAATAAAGAATATATATTTTTATATAAACAAAAAAAGGCATAACAGGTAGCCTATAGTTATATTATTAGCACAATATTTTATACGCTTCACATTTAAACTGTGTCAAATTAAATGTTTGAAGTCGATTTTAACTTGCCTCTATTTGGCATATCAAATTGAAACTTTGAAATTGATGATAAAGCCAGAAGACGAACAATGGTAGTCTTTAAGGGCTGTTAAGTAAACCCTTTGATTTTGCAATAAAAGAGAAAGCTGGCTAATCTAATCTAGTTTTAGTTATCCTTTTAATTCAATTTCGGAGTTAATATTAAATATAATAAAATTATTTTATGTATTTAATAAGAATATAACATCTTACAGTTATATTCCACTTCATAAAACTCCTTGTACCCTTCCATTCTTTTTGGAAAGAGGGTAAATAATATGGAAAACATGAGAGTCAACATCGATAAGGATAGTTGAGCCTCCCACCAGTCCTCCCTCACGGATACATCCCTCATCCAATTCTGACCACTCAATCCCAGGGACAGCCGGATTGATATCAATATACCTAGAAGGAAATAAAAATATGAAAAGATTGTATTTACTATATATTCTTTATGGAACTTAAAAGACAAATAGATAGGTATAACACTGCATAGAAGTCCAGGGATGCTTTTTAATTATTTATTAGCATAAAGGTTTTAGTGATACGTTGAAAAATAATAGCTAAGAATTTCACCAAGCACATTTGTAATGGCAAATCATTCTCGTATATATTATATATATTTAAAACAAGTTAAAAAAAATACTCAAGATTCGATCTAAATATATTTAAAAATTTGTTATATTAGCTACACCAGTAAGAACTTCTAAAAAACAATTTTGTGTCTAAAAGTAAAAACTTTAGCGTGAGCTTAGAAAATTATTTTTTATTATTGTATGATCAGTGTCTAATGCGAAATTAAAAAAAATAAAGTCACCATAAAAGTAAGGTCCACTCGCCGGTTCATGGTCATCCAAGTATGTGATACCGTGCGCCCAAATGCTAATTTTGGTAAAACTGCAGAAGATCGCTGTGATGATGAGGACTGCTGTGCGCGCTGGCACGAGGTGGTCGTATCTTTCCATATCTTCCACTGGCTCTAGGTACGGAGAAATACTTCCGCCTCCACACAGTGCTAGAGAGCGAAATAATTCATTGAGGATTTAAATGTATACATATGATGATGTTCTCCTAGCCGATTCCGGTTACGGCGGCCAATCTCATTGAGACTAGCCAACTGCGCAGGGGCTATTATAGTGCACAAGTGTACGCGCAGACAGTAGTGCACTCTCTATTCCTGTCACTCTCATACTCCGGTGGGACGACTGTTCGACACGACCGGTGAGAGTTAAGGCGCAGGACCGACGGCTTTACGTGCTCTCTGAGGCACGGGGATGAAACACCGCCAACTTCCCAACTCCGGGCTGTTACTGAGGCTTACTTATACAGAAAGACTCAATAACTAGACTATGTATACATATAATAAAATATTAAATAATAGAGGTAAATCAGTAAGTACATGAAATATATTTTTTAAAACAATTACTGTTACGTATAGTGTCTAGAATATAGAGTACTAGAATAGAATCGTACATTTTTCCGGGGGGAAAAGTAGCTTAAGCAAACACTTCAATTTTATTTATCTACATATATTGATTTATATCTTAATATATATAATTCTTCTGTACGTGTGTTTGTCAACTTACTCCTCCTAAATGGCTGGATCGATTTGGATAAAATTTTGTGTGTATATTTCGATGGGCTCCTGGATAGTTTGAAAACACAATTGGACCCGGTGGTGCTACTGTCGGTGTGTTAAAGAATTTGTTTTTTTGTTATTTTGAACGCGGGCGAAGCCGCGGGTACTGCTAGTAGAAATACTTATAAAATATAAATGTCGGATCAATCTTCACATGTTTACTAAAACTAATCTCAAGGAACGTCAAACTCAAATGAATAATCTTATTGTAAACTAGCGGCTCACCCTCGCTTCGCTCGGGTTCACCTCTAGAATAGCACAAACAGATCTATTCCACGGGAACCGTTCATTTTTCCGGGATGAAAAGTAACCTGTTATTTGACCGGCAGTATAAGGTATCAGCATGCCAAATTTTACGAAATTAGGTGCGTAAGTTGTTGTGTACTAAGCTGTATAAATTACTATAGTTTTTTAACTATCCCACGGAAACTCTTTAATTTTCTGGAATGAAAAGTATCTTAGATGTTGACCGGGGATATAAGGTACTACCATACAAAATTTAATTTAAACCGGTTCAATAGTTTCGGAGATTAGCCCGTACAAACAGACAAACAGAAGAGAAATAACCTCTACAGTTTTATTATATGTATAGATAGAATAGAATAAATAACGTATAATAAAACAGTAATATATAATAATGAAAATAGTTATAGCGAGTGTACCTTAGGAGAAAGACATATACTATGTAGAACTTTTCTATAGACCTTTTTAGGACTTACAATTTTCTTGCACAATGTTTTGATCTATCTCTTAAGGTTGAGCCAACGTTAGCCATATAAATTTCTTGCCCTTGCTTCGATAGAACCAGTTATTGTGTTTTCGAGTAATCAATAATTTGCCTGTCGTAAAAGGTATCCTAAATGTTGAACCGAGTACTAAGTTTTATCAATACAAAATTTAGTTAAAATCGTTTGAGTACTTTTGCGTGAAACGCGCACATCGATTTGACTAAGTTAGTTTTATTATACGTATAGATAAGAATAAATATTGCGAGTGTAACTTAGGAGATAGACATATACAATTCAGAACTTTTCTGTAGGACTTTTCAAGACCTACAATTTTTTTGTATATTGTTTTAATGTATGTATATCTTAAGGCTTAGCCAGCGGAAGGTTTCTAAGGAGGACTCTATAAAACCAGTTATTGTATTTTCCCGTGGGAAAGAAAGATTTTCTTGAAGTAAAAGGTATCTAGGCAGTGGTATCCCAGTGGTAACGCGCTCGCTTGGGAAACCGAGTGAAGCAAGTTCAAATCCCGGGTCTCGCACCTCTGATATTTTCATGTGCGAATCATTTCTAACACAATTACCACTTGTCTTAACGGTAAAGTAAAACATCGTGAGGAAACCTGCATGCCTGAGAGAACCCAGCAAGTTTTCAAAAGACATGTGAAGTCCGCCAACCTGCACTTGGCCAGCGTGGTGGACTATGGCCTGATCCCCCTCGTACTGAAGGGAGGCCCGTGCCCAGCAGTGGGACGTTAAAAAGGGCTGAATACATACATACATACATACATAAATACATACAAAAGGTATCCTAAATGTTGACTCGAGTAATAAGTTATCACCAAATTTCGTTGAAATCGGTACATTACTTTTCGCGTGAAACGCTCACGCAAAAACAGACAAACAGACATACAGGCAAACAGACAAACAGACAACTTTTTAATAACTATTGTTTTGGGGTTTATGTTGTGTACATAATACGTTACAAATAAACAAAAACATCTATCCCACGGGAACAGTACATTTTTCCGGGATAAAAAGTAACCTATTTCTTATTCTGATGTATGAACTATATATATTATTGTAAAGTTTCATCAAAATCCAATCAGTAGTTTTTGTGTACTAAGCTGTATAAGTTACTATAGTTTTTTGGCTATCCCACGGAAACTCTTTAATTTTCCGGGATGAAAAGTAGCTGATTTGTTTTAGTCATGTATGAACTAAATTATTGTAAGGTTTCATTAAAATCCAATCAGTAGTTTTTGTGTACTAAGCTGTATAAGTTGTTATAGTTTTTTAACTATCCCACGGGAACTCTTTAATTTTCCGGGATGAAAAGTATCTAAGATGTTGCACGGGGATATAAGGTACCACCATGCAAAATTTTATTTAAATCGGTCCAATAGATTCGGAGATTAGCCCGTACAAACAGGAAAACAGATAAACAGCTCGCTCGGGTTCGTCCATACCTACGAATATGTTGTATTATCTCTTTAACCATTTGTCCAAATTATATGCAGTAAAAGGGAAAAGTCTTTTGTTTTAAACATTTTAGACGATAAATTTACTTATTTTGATAAGAATTCATAATTGTTGATAATATGACCAATAAACATGACCTACCGATTTAAATTATTTTTTTAATATAAAAAACTACTTTTTGTGACTTAAATATAAAAGTTAGACATATGCTGTCGCTGACTTTTTTGTAGGCATTATTAAGCTCTACAACTTTTCTCTAGAACATAATCATATATCTCTCACCGTTAATGCAGCGTTCGTAAGAAACCTTTTCGTTCGACCGTTTTTTCTCCGACTTACTTTGCAAATCCGACTACCACGAAAAAGCCTTTTCATTCTTCGCGTTAATATATAGCCTATGACACTCAGAAAGAACGTGGCTTTCTATTGGTAAAAGAATTTTGAAAATCGGTTCAGTAGATCCAGAGATTACCCCCTACAACGTCACAAACTCACAAACTCACAAACTCACAAACCCACAAACTCACAAACTCACAAGATCACAAACTTTACCTCTTTATAATATTAGTATAGATTAATCACACGTCGTTAGATACTAGTTTTTCAATAAGAATACGTAACACTAAGTGAGATACAAATAATAAGCCGGATTTTTTATTATCATTGATTGATATAACTTCAGCAGATATCGGGTTATAATTCATTAGGTAAGTGATTCTACGTTGTAGATATATAATTAAAAGACAATAAGCCGTTGCTGTTTTCGAAAGATATGTGAAGTCCGCCAACCCGCACTTGGCCAGCGTGGTGGACTATGGCCTGATCCCCCTCGTATTGAAGGGCGACCCATGCCCAGCAGTGGGCTAAAAAGGGCTGAATACAAATTTAACTTATATTTGTGATGTAAAAACTGTCCTTACCTACTGAAGGTCTCCCGGATGCTGGATATGGGAAAGCCAGCACTATCAACCCGGATACGGCTGTAGCACAGAGCCATCCTGACAGCGCGAAATGACGCGAGCCTCGTCCCCACCAGGCTACTATTGTTCCGAAGAGGAATTCCGCACCTCCAACTCCTAATTTCAACCAATCTGAAATAATCATTGGGTACCCATATTACCTATTTAATATTATAAATGTGAAAATGTGTTTATTTTTTCATAGAAATAACTCATAGGCCAGATATTTATATATGTAGCAATATACTCTATGGCCAGAAAAGTACTATAGCACAACCCAGACGAGAGTATTTATACTAGTGGCACTCGAGGCTAGCGCCCAGGGCGGAAACTTTTCAGAGACGTCAAAATTTGAAGGGTGAAAGAAAAATCCTTGCGTTATCAAAAATGTTTTATTTTTATTTTCCAAGCAATGAATAATAAAAAAATAACTACTTAGTACATTTTCCAAAACATTAAAAACATTTATAAATTACATTTTTGCATTTATATTATTATATATTATGTATATATTTTTTCCAAAAATTAATAACTAAAAAAAAATAACTTTATCAAAATTTTATCCATTTTATGCAAAATTGTTTACTGTGCCCAGGGACGGTGCTAAGGCTGAATTCGGCACTGGACTCATACCTTATAATTCCTATGTCTTTTTATATGTAAACAAGTGTAGAATGTCAGCTTGTCTAAACCGCAAGGTCGACTCATACCTAATACATAATATAAAGAGCCACGAGATATAAAAAAGCCATGGGCCATGGGTACCTAAATATCCAGGTATGTTTTAATTTATTTCACACGCAAGAATTACTTAAATTATTTTTGTATATCAATTCATTTAATTAATTTTTAGCAGTTCAAATTGACAACGTCAAAACAAAATTTATGGTGTAATAAAAATTTATTTTAAAATATATCCGAAAATAGCATTAAAAATTTAAGTAATATGTAGTATAAAAATGTTTTAAAAGACAACAAAATCGAAAGTGCATAATAATTACAAGGCTTCCGCGACACCATTCAGACAAAGAGAGACAATAGCATTCCCAAGGAGGGTTGAAGTCAGGCAGGCGGCCGGTCGTAAAACTTTTACCAAATTCTATCAGCAGTAGGTACAGAAGATGTACAGCGCCGACCCCAAGTGATTGGGAAATGTGCAGGGAGAAGAATTCATTTAATTAATTTGAATAAAATAATCTTTTCCAAAGTTAAGTTTTTATTTTAAGTCCATTTACTCTTTAGGAACTATCTTATATCAAACTATGGTATTTTGAATCCAGTATCAATTATGCTAGTCTTTAAATGGTGCGGCATTCGAAATAATTTCTAGTAGTAACACTGCCACCTTCCCAATTCCGAATCAGATTGACTGATCACTGACTTAATTTAAATTCGGAACTCAGGATTTGCCATTAGACCATCGAGGCACTTAAGACAATGATATTATAATCTTTCTCAATAAAAAGGCTAAAAAATATGTGTAATGTGTTCGCCAGTGATCGAAATTCGACCATTGAAAATTAGAGGAAAACTTTCACGAATAGAATTTTTTGTATCTATATATAAAAAAAACTAAAGCTCGTCAATAGCTACAAAACAAAAAAAAAGAAAATCGGTTGTCAAACAGAGGAGACAACTGTACTGAACTGTTTTGTCTTTGCCTATTTATATACATATTGCTCGCGGCTCCGCCCGCGTTTAGATGATCAAAAACCAAATTCTAAGGTTTTAAATATTAGTATACTCTTACATTGCAGTTTTTGTATTTTTTCTCAGAAATGAGTATTTTCTCGCGGTAAAAAGTATCCTATATGTTGACCCGGATAAACAGCTACCACCATAACAAATTTCATCAAAATCTGTCCAGTGGTTTTCTCGTGATGCGGTAACAGACAGACAGACAGACAGACAAAAATTCTAAAAATTATAGATTCGGACTCTGTATATCTATAATCTCTATTTCAATTAGATTTTCCAAAAAATATTTAATGTACAGATTCGACTTAGTTACAATTTTATTATATGTATAGATTAGTATAGATATTCGTAGATAATGACTTTAATTATTATTAAAGTTACCTTCATTAATTGAGGGCAGATATCCCGACCTGGCATTTCTTCTAAGAAGGAGGTACACATAACTCTCCAAAAACACGACGATCAGTAAGGCCCCTTGTAAGAACAAATCGAAACGTGGTATCGTCAGAATATATTTGCGGAGAAGAAACCATGCTTTCATAATAACTGAAAAAATGTCAATAAACTTATTAATTTCCAAAAAATATAAAAAAAAACTATCGCTATTTTTTTTATTCGATAAAGTATGCCAATTGGCATTGTTATTATTAAAAAATTAAAATGTCAATTGATATTGTCAAAGGCACGGGGGAGTACCACCACGTCACATACTCGTACTTACTTATCTAATACCTACTGAGAATTTACACACGCGATAAATAAACTTGGCCCGGCGAGAGATGCACACTGCACAGTGCACCAGTCACTAGTTCAATGAGTAATTATACATTTATATTATAACAAGCACCTCACCCGTCGCTCTGGTCCGTCCCTAGGTACGTTTTAACGGTTAGTATGAATATAATATGCATGCATTATACATATAAACCTTCCTCTTGAATCACTCTATCTATAGCTGAAAACTGCAAATCCATTGCGTAGTTTAAAAGATCTAAGCGTACAAACAGCGGGAGCGACTTTGTTGTATACTATGTATAGATAAAGAAATTGTATTTCATTTTGTATTTTCCTATATATAAGTTGTTTTTTTTTATTTAAATTATATCTACCCCATATTATAAGAAAATAGTACCTACATATTTATTTTATATTACATTTTGATTACATTACATTTTAATTCAATAGTTTTATTAATTTACCTAGGTATTTCTGTTTTGAATAGTTAAAAATATAATCTTAGACTCATTTACTTAATCAAAGTTGAGCTATTTTAATTGATTATGATGTCCTCCCGACCGATTTCGACCACGGCGGTCAATCTCACTGAGACTAGCCAACGGCGCAGGAGTTAGTGCAGAGTGTGTACGCGCAGACACAACGTGCACTCTCCATTCCTCTTACTTTAAAATTCCGATGGGATGATATTCGAGATTGATATACGCGCCGAGGCTCGGGTGTGCAACACCGCTTCCACTCCGGTCGGAGTTGACGGTTGGGACTTCCCAGAAAAACTCAAAAACTAAACTGGGCTCGACCCAGGACTCGAACCCCGGATCTCCGAATATGTAGCCCTACATGCTACCTAACTACATCACCGAGGAAGTAAAGTTTGTATTTTAATTAAGGTTACTAAGAACATACAAATTTTTATTATAATTTTTAATCATTTTTTATTTATTTTACAAGATATGCCAACAACACATTGTACCTACGTTGTAAATTAAATTAACTTATAATACATACTTATGACAAGTTCAAGTACAAGCATTAATTATAGACATACACAGCATTGTTTTTTTCCGGCTTTATCTATTTAAATAAATTTAATTATGCATCACAAGCATTTTAGATATTAATCCTAAAATGTGTTAAATTGTAATACTAGAATAGTTAAATAATATAAATCGTTTTTTAGATTAACTTATCGGTAAAATAGTTCAAAATGACCTTATGACATCTACTCATTTATATTCGACTAGCGACTCACCCTCGCTCCGCTCGGGTTCGTCCCTACTTATTTTTTAACGTTTAGTTTAGATTTCTCAGAGATGAGATATTTTCCCGCAGTAAAAAGTATCCTATATGTTGACCCGAATAACCAGCTATCATCATACCAAATTTCATCAAAATCACTCCAGTGGTTTTTCCGTGATGCGGTACAGATAGGCAGACAGACAGACAAAAATTCTAAAAACTACAGATTCGGACTCCGTATCGATAATAATGTCTATTTCAATTAGATTTTCCAAAAAATATTTAATGTACAGATTCGACTTAGTTACAATTTCATTATATGTACAGACTAGTGACTCACCCTCGCTTACTCGGGTGCGTTCCTATTTCCTAGGTACTTTTTACATAGATATGAATAGTTATTTCGAGTGTACCTTAGGAGAAAGACTTAAATCCTATTACAGATTTTTCTGTAAGCCTTATTAAGACCTGTAATTTTCTAGCACATTGCTTTGAGCTATGTCTTAAGTTTTAGCCAGCGTTCGACATGTCTAAGAACATCTCGATAGAACCAGTTATTGTGTTTTCCCGTGGGAATGAAAGATTTTCCTGTACTAAAAGGTATCCTAAATGTTGACCCGAGTAATAAGTTATCATTACACAAAATTTAGTTAAAATCGGTTCAGTACTTTTTGCGTGAAACGCGCACATCGATTTCGCTAAATTCCTGTTTTATTATATGTATAGATGCGAACGAAATATTTTTTTTATTAAATTTAAAACCCGACTAAGTATATATGTTCGGTTATCGGCGGTCAATACCGGATTGATAACAGTTGCATGTCCTTAATAAAAATAAATAATATAACAAAAAACACTGCAAATGCGTCAAGTTAAATATGTATATTTAAATCTCGTATATGTTTTCGTGTTGAACCTTGTCCCCCCACGCAAGCCGACGGCAAAAAGACAAGTCTTATATGAGCTTAAGAACTCAAAGGATTTTGGACTACTACTATAAATAAAGTTTTTATGTGTATATTTGTTTGTTACGCCTACACGCTGGAACGGTTTCTGTGAAATTTAGTTGACAGATAGACTATAATCTGGATAGGAGTAACATATGTATGTATATGCAACTGGTAGGTACCTAGGGATCCAAGTAAAGCGAGGGTATCTCGCTAGTACATAATGAAATTATAATTAGGTTAAAATTCTTCAGATACCACTTTTAACATTTTCAGACTTTATAGGTAATGTAGGATATGGATAGAATTTTTTAAATAAGTACAATAATGAAAACTTAAAAATACTCACCCATTATGACTTTCACTAACACTTCATGTTAATTTAAAACTTATAAATAGGTCAAATCTAAACGTTTTCGTTTGGTAGAGAGTCAACGTGTACTACCGAATTGCCTTATCGATTGCTGAAATTATCAGATGTGCGACTGATATGGTAATGAACGTATAATATATACATGATTGTGACGCCTTCCTGTTTTATTTTATTGAAATATAATGTCATATTTGTTAGTTTTTGTATGGAATGTCTAAGGCTGACTCGAGTTCGATTCTTGAGTGAGGCATAGCTGTTAGTTGATCGGTCACGGTTGTCGATCTCGCTATGACAAGTCCAATTTCAACTAAGTACTTTTAATTTACTTTCACAATACCTGGGCGACCAGTTTTGCTCGGCGGTTTTCGTCAAAGATATAAAAATTGCGCTTTTTTTTTCAGAAAAAACACTTAAAGTTAGATAAAGTTAAAAACCAAAACCTTATTTAAATACAAAATTTTATCCAAATCGTTAAGTCGTTTTCAAAATACACGAAATAAATTATACACATACATAAGAATTGCTCATTTAATATTATAAAATTTCAATGGCTTCTATAATGTCCTACATATATGTATACTAATATAATGCCATCATAATGCAACATTTCTTTTAAAAATATATAATCTTAGCGATAAATAATTTAAATATTAAAGATAGGCTTTATATGAAAGTAAAATAAGATCTGTAGTCCGGCTGAGATTTTTTGTCACTTTTTCAATTACAATCTAACATTTACTGTAAAGATTTTATACTAAATTTACCATCGCTTCGCTCGTGTGAGTCCTTAGGTACGCGGATTTTGTCAATTTTGTTTTACACTTTCATGGGTTTTAATTTTGATTTTTTTCTAAAATAAAAGTAGCCTATGTTACTCCTTATAACATCAGCTATCTGTGAAATTCCGGAAATATATATCTAAATCAAATTATTTTAATAATAAAACAAAATACTGTCATAAAATCATTTATTAATTAAAAATATTAACTGAAAAAAATACTATAAAACACACAACTGTGCTTTTCGTGATGTCATATTAAATGTTTTTTAACATATTTACAATTTTATATAAAAATACATTATTAAATATTAATTATTCTTAATGTAGATTGTTAAGATAATTTGTGTGGGACATTATTTCACTCATTGCTTTAAATACGTTACACGTTCTTTCATAATATTTTTTTGTGGAAATCCTATTCAAATATCAACAAAATAGAATTTTAAAATGATAAAAATTCCGTCAATTTTGTGATGCTTACATTTTTAAATTTTATGTTTATTTTTACAATATGAAATAAAAAGAAATATATAGACCTATTAGACAGGCTTGTTTGAATACCAACTAAATCTAGTTATTTTTTTTTAAATAACTTGAGTATGTTATTCATAAAAAGAAAGATAGTAATAGTACTTTTTTTTTACAAAGAAAAAATAATACTCTGACAAATTGTCTTCCTAGTTTAAAAAAAAATATCTAATGTCAAATCGAAATTTCAATACATTTCTAAGTAAAATTGAAAGGAAAAATGAAAAATGAAAGGAAACTTAAGTAAAAATGAGTGTTTGAGATAAATGATATTCGTTTTGTCTAAGCAAAAATAGATTGTTTTAACTAAATATTTTTTCTATAGAAAAATAAGGCAAGATGTCTTTTAAGTTGTTTATGATAATTTTTTTCTGTCTCAATAAATATAAATAGCAGTTTAGTTCAATTAATGACCATAGTGGCGCTAGTGTGTTATAAAAATATTGGTATTATTTTTAATATCAGATACTAATCATTAACTTGCTAAATTATAGAGTAACATTAAGTCATGAGCATAAAACAATCAAAATATTTTATTCATTCAGCTGTAATTTGTTTTTTTTTGTTGTATCTAATAAGTGTCTTTTTTCTGATTATCGAAAAGTTAGCCCTCGATATTTGGTTCATTTTAAAAAGTCTTCGTTTGAGATATTTAGAAGTACTTGTCATTTCTTAGTTAAAAAAATATACATTTACAGATTCTTTCTATTCTTTGACATTTATTAATTTCATAACTCATAGAAACTAAATTATTTCTATTATTAATTATATAATAACACATAACAATGTCAAAATATGCAAAATTGATACTCGTGTAAATTTTAGTTTAATATACAAGTCTTATACAAATTGACATGAAAATGGCTATAAAAAAATAAAAAATAAAAAATAAACGATTAACTACACTTAAAAATGTAACAATAATACGAAAAACAATGTATTTATCACTGGTATAAATAAACATCACAATGAAGTCTATAAAGGTCGATAATTTAAGTAAAAAACTTATTTTATTGTCATCTTAGTAAATATTCCAACTTATTAGATTTTTATACTTTAAGCAATACCCAATACATTTTTCTCGAGCCACGGCACAAAATGTGTGACGCGAGAATAGACCCCGGGGAATCCCGCTTCGGCGCAATTCCTTCCATACGACACTACGCCTATTTGATAGAGATATGTCGCTAAAGTTTCGGGATTGTACTGAAAAAAAAATGATTGCATCATTAAAGTTATAAAGACTGGCTTTAGGAATTTGTTTAGATAAGAAAAGATAATGACCTCTAACTTATTTCAGAATATACTTCATTCACTAAAATGAAGTTTAATTTTTTTTAGTTATAATTTAATTTTTTTTTTGCACATTAAAATAATACACAGACAGACATACGTAGACGTTAGGGCAACACACTGTCCCAAATCACTTTTGTCGTTTGTATAGAATCTTTTTTGATGATGAACGGATGATTTTATTAATATCTTACAATGGGTTGCATCAAGGGTCCTCCACTGTCTCCTTGGCAAGCGTCCTTCCCGCCCTTCTTGTAGCCAGCGCAAAGCACACGCTCGTCGATTACTTGTGATTTGTACGGTTTGTACGCGTTAGCGCAGAACGTATTGCTCACCACTGGGAGCTGCACGACCTGGAGATGGTTTGCGGATGGACCACCTGGTGAAGAATAAGTAATTAAGTCTTTTTTTTGAAGTTATACTTCTTTTAGCACGTTTGGAAAAAAATATGAGAGTAAAATTTTTACGTTGCGCGCGCGCACTGACAGCCAAAAAGCGAAATGATAAAGTTAGCTGCATTCCTTTTACAAACAGGGAGTTGTAACATACGGGGTGAAGTCTTTAGCTATTTTTGTTCTGTTACGCCAAAAAAGTATAACTTCTTACGTGCGTACATAAGTACACAAACACTGTTTTTTCTCTTGTGAGTATACTATACAACACGGACGTTTTGTCCGTGTGTTTTTCTGATTTCTATATTTATAAAGTGATTTTATATCTTTTAATAAATGTAGGTTTATACTTTATAGTCTTAAGTTTGACGGTTTGTTTATTAGTATTCGGTAGATTTTGTAATGATTCAAAACAGCCTTTGCTTTGAAGTCTCTCTTCGTGGCTTCCTTAAAAAGCTATTATTTAATAAATGAAATTGTACTTAATTAATATATTTATGGTACAAATAAAAACTTTTTAACAAAAAAATAAAAACCGACTTCAAACAAAAGCACTAAAAAGTAATATTATATTTGCTTTGTATGGGCTGGCACCGATTTCGAAAATATTGGATTAGGTATGTATTTAATAGGTAGGCTTTAATTACTTAGCCAAAGCACACCGACTTCGAAAATATTTGATTAGGTATGTATAGTAAATGAAAACTACCAATCAGTTATTTATTACTTTTTAGTGCTTTTGTTTGAAGTCGGTTTTTATTTTTTTGTTAAAAAGTTTTTATTTTTCCCTTTTTAGTGTAGACAGTAGTAGAAAAGTAAGGATTCTAACGTGTTAGGCTTGTCAAATCAAACAAAATAAGCCCAAACTCAAAGTATCTACTGTTAGCCGTTAAAGAGTTTCACCATCCACCTTCTGGCCTTGCCATCAGATCAGGTCAACAACACCGAACTATGTACTATCAACGGAAATAGAAATACTTGCAAAGTTTCAAGTCAATATGACAATTAGAAGTAGGTTAAATTCATCATTCGTTGTTTTTCCACCCTTAGGGGTGGTATTTTTTTTTTAAATTTAAATGGGACCAATCTGGAAGTATACCCTTTCAAACGACACAAAAATTGTCCAAATCGGTTAATAAATGACGGAGTTCTGAGGTAACAAACATAAAAAAAAAAAAAAAAACATACAGTCGAATTGAGAACCTCCTCCTTTTTGAAGTCGGTTGAAAAGTACATGAATACTTAATGGTAAAGCTGAAGAGATAAAGGGAATGCAGGAAAGAGTGGATCATCGAAGAGGAGTAAGGAATGGAGAAGGCAAGGTTAGTTCCCGGACTTCAGCACATCGTTCATCGTGAACCTTTTCTAAGCACTATAATGAACGTGCATGGCAGCTTAAAGTAAATAGCTTATCTAAGTTTAGGTTGATTCATTGAGAATCAAAATAATGCATATTTTTTATGAAAATCTTTAATTCTTTACTTTTGGAGTTCCTGTCACGTACAAACAAACAAACAAAACAACCAAACCAAAACAAAAAAAAACAAATTAAATGGATAAAAAGTTAACTAATGGTATAATATATACATATGTATATATATATATTATATATATATATATATATATATATATATATATATATATATATATATAACATATTACTTACGAAATTCTGTATCTCCCCATCCAGCAAGAAGAGGAGTCCAGTCCTCAAATGTGTTGGATCTTAGTTCGCTGCTTTGTGGTATACATATTGGTTTTATGAGATCTAAAAAGCACAAAAATATTTAATAAAGTGAAAAAAATTAAACTACATGATTATTAATTTAAAAAATATATATATATATATATATATATATATATATATATATATATACAAATGCCCGATTTCACTAACGTCACCTAAGATTAAGGGATCCCCTAAGCATGGTTAGGGGGCTGTTAGGGGACAGTTTCTGTTTTATCGACAGTAAGGGGTCACCTAAATGTTAAAAGGCCCCCTAAATTTAGGTGCTCGAAATATGGGCTTAAAGACGATGGTAAAACGAAATTTAATTTAGGGGCTAGTTTAGGGGAACTTTTAAGCTAGGGATCCCATACGTAGGTGGTAGCTTATGGGTTGTCGGTGAAATCGGCAAAAGTCTTATAACAGTTTTATTTTCAACGTAAGAAACACCTAATAAGCACCTTGCGATAAAGTCGCAAATCTTCAAATTATCATCATACATTTACGATCATTTCATAAGTTTTATTCTCTTTATAGTAAAATCAACCTTATATTAAAAACTTAAAACACTTTTTCCCGTTGTAGCTTTGTGAGCTTGAAATTTCATTCAAACATACAAAAACAACAAAAAAAACTTTAAGCTTTATAAACTAGGATATATTTATATATAAATTTTAAATACTAACCAGTAAATTGTACACGTTGTTCCAAAATTAAAAGGCCGATGTCGTTGGTGATGGTTGAACGGTCGTAGTCTTCGTGCTTGATTTTATATTTAATGAGGACGTCTATAGGAGTTGCTCCTTCATCCTCCCTAGCTAGGTCCAGTTCACCGAGGCGTACGACATATCTGTAATGTATTATTTAATCCTTACTAATATTATTTATAAGCTGCCTTGGTTGTGGTGGTGTAGTGGCTAGCATGTACGGCTGCACATCCGGGGATTCTGGGTTCGAGTCCCGAGTCGGGCCAAGTGTAACTATTGAGTCTTTCTGTTAAGAAAACAACAACCCGGAGTTGGGAAGTTGGCTGTGTTACACCCCTCAGCTGCAGCAGCAGCTGTGTTACAGCTCTCAGAGAGCACATAGAACCGTCGGTCCTGTGCCATAACTCTCACCGGTCGTGTCGAATAATCGTCCTATCGGAATTTGAGAGTGAAGGTAATAAGAAGTACACTTGTGTTTGTGCGTACACTTGTACACTATAATATCACCTGCACATCTGGCTAGTCTGATTGTGAGTGAGATTGGACGCCATGGCCGAAATCAGTTTCGAGGACATCATTAATATCGATTTTGCTGTACGTCTGTTTGTTTATTAGTATGTCTTTCTTTAAAATATTAAGGGAGCGACATTTTGCAATGAAATTTATGAATTGAATAATAGGATATTGCAAAGAAATTTAGAGTAAATTATAATAAATATTTTTGTGGCTGAATTGTATAATTTTATTAAATAGTTACATTTAAAGAAGTCAGGTCAGGTAATATTTCGCCGACCATCTTGAAACGATAAGTAAAGATCACAATATTTATGTATTTATTCAAGGTATACTGAGTGAGCATTGTAAAAATAAGAATGAAAAACATTTTTCATTGCTGGTGTTGTTCAATAAATACTCTTCCATAGAACTAAGCTTGAATAATAATCATTTATCCATCAGATATATAATTCTTACGTTGTAAATAAATTTAGCTTAACTTCTATTTATGTAGAATTATTCTGACACAGTGTGATTTGTGAAACTAATTATCTATGATACATTACATATTGCTAATAACTTTGAAGCGGATGTAACAAATATTACGTAGTGGATAGCCATTAATTTCCCACATACTACAATTTTTCTTAGGACTACGAATAACAAATAATAAAATAACATTTTAAATAAAAGTAGGTATCTTTTCGGATTATTTTGCGGATTTATTTTGATTTTTGGTTTCCGACGTTACGAATGCTTTACAGCAATCATGGTCACGGGAGATACCCCGTCTTCGCCGAGTTTTATTTAAAACTAGCGACTCACCTTCGCTTCGTCCCCTGTACGTCGTCGTACGTTTTTATTCTTTTGAGCGGAACCCTAATTCTTTTTCTAAAATAAAAGTAGCCTATGTTACTCCTTATAACATCAGCTATCTTCCAGTGCAAGTCCCGTCAAAATCAGTCCAGCCGTTTAGAGATTATCCGGAACAAACAGACAGACAAAAATAAAAAAAAATGTTTTTTTTATAAGTTGCGTATATAATTTCATATAGAATTAGTAAAACGCTGTTATTTTGACATTACAAACAGACACTTCAATTTTATTTATCTGTATGTATGTCAAGTATTTGCGTAAATCTAAGAAAGTATTAAATTTCTAACAGTTGACAAATTAAATAAAACCATAAGGACTTTGTTATAAAAAAAATGGCAGAAGAGCTTTTCTACGCCATGCTATGCAAACGTCAAATATCACTGAGGCGCCGATTTTTTAGTTAAGCAGTAAGAAACCATGAAGTAAATTAAACATTAGTCACTGTGGCATTTACAAAATTTATGTTAGTAAAAATATTATTTCATGTTTTAATTAGCAACTCACCCTCGCTCCGCGCGGGTTCGTCCCTTGGTAGGTTTTAATGGTTGGTATAGATTTTTCATAGATGGGATTTTTTCCCGCAAATAGAAACAAGAATAGAAAACAGATAGACAGACAAAAATTCTAAAAACTATAAGTTCGGCCTCTGTATCGATAATAATGAGTATTGACTATCTTAATAAGATTTTTAAAAAATATTTAATGTACAGATTCGACTCAAAATTTTATTATATGTATAAATATAGATTATTGGAGCCAAATTAGTGTCACAAGATGGGCGGATTCGACAGTCCCTACTAGTAGGAACCTGCAACATATTGATAATTTTCGATGGAAAACAAGAGCACCAAAGGCTATACAATGCATAATCCTACCCCGTTTTCTACTTAATGATCCAACCCCCGTCCCTCCACCTTCTAATCTGTAACTCTGAAGACTGACCAAGCCTATATTTGCTACAGTTCCTGATTATAATCACTCAAGTTTTCTATTTATTAACCAAACTAGTATCATAAAAATACTGTCGATAAACTTACAGATCGGTTTCATGTTTGTGTATACAGTGGGCAGCGGTGAGGACGTGGTGGGTGCTGATCAGGGACCCTCCACATAACCATCTCGTTGATGACCTTTCTTTGTAACCTAGGAGAGCCATCCAAGGGAAAGCACCTGGGAAATAAAACATTAAGAAATAATTATGTTATTGCTTCCTCTAATTTGTTTAAGGTTTGTTGGTATGTAAACTATCCAGTAATGTATTTATTTGATTTATCTGAATATTTATTTGAACTTAGTCTAACATAATTAATTAAATTTATTAAAACTGACTTCGACAATATCTGATAAGGTATCTATTCTAAACCCGTTTGGTTATTTTTTACATTTTAGTACCTGGAAGACGGTTTTCATTTTTTTTTAAGTTTTTTTAGAAATTCAACTCTTATAGGGTTAAAAAGGGGTTGAAAGTTTTTGCGAAAATCTGTTATTTTTAAACTATGCGGGCAGAGCCGCGGACAAACGCTGCAAGCAAAGTATACGCACTATTTCCATTCCAGAGTTAAAAAATATAGTAATCTGACATGAAACCAACTCTTACCAAGTTTAGCATCAACACCCCCTACAACACGACTGAAAGTGCCATTAGAGACCCCGCATACAGGAGGCTCGGGGAACTTTTCTATAAAGTCGCTACTGTCGGGTAAAGACTTGCCGGATGCTACTACTGATTCAGTCGAAGTAGTGATCGGAGCTGGAGCAGCTGTTGAAGGAGGTAGAGTTGGAGGTGGAACATCAGGTATTTTTTGAAAGGGGCAACAAACCTGTGGAGATAATATTTGGGCTGTTATTAAATTATCATTTAGTCAGAACGCGGGAGTGTCTCGACTCCGGTTGAGACCTCAATCAAATCAACTAACCTTCACAGAACTAGTGAGACAAGTTAATTAAGATTCATCATTGATGAATTTATCAATTTTGATTTTCTCTTTTTTCTCAATACCTACTTATGCAGATATAATATACGTGAACTAATGTCACAAAAAGGTCATTTTTGTAAAACGTTAACAACAATAGAAAAGGTCTTCGATATCATTAATTTCGCATTGAAATCTAGTGAATTTATTATTTTTATTCACAGTATACATTCGTATCGGTTTTTCATTGTCGTTCACTAGTCCATACTAAAATACTAATATTATAAATGTGATAGTAACTCTGTCTGTCTACTTGTTACCTTTTCTCGCTTGATCCTCTGAACACATTTCGATAAAATTTGTGACAGAACCACGGGCAGGAACTAGAAGGATTACTAATGATTTTTATGTTTCATATTCATATACCTTAGGATTGCTCCCTTCGAAGCCACAATGCACTTTCCTCAAGAGTTGGACAGCATCATTGCTTCTTCTTGCGTTTTGGAGAAGTTTCATGTATGGCTCACAAGATGCAACGTTTATACAACTTCCAACACCATTGTCTACTGTTTTACATGTGTCGCCTGAAAAAGTTATTGTTTTACAAAATATCTGCATTTATTTATCCATGCATATTTACATGTTACATGAAATCCATAAACCAAAATGTGTTTGTTTGTTTGTCCTTCTTACAACAACAACAGCAACGGAGTAATAAAATAATAAATAACGCTAAACGACTTCAAAATAATTTAAAAAAAATATTTATTCTATCTTTAGGGGTGAGATTTACTGATTTTTTGAGATCCTCTAAAAGTAATAATTAAAAAGGATTATGTAAATCGATTCACACTTGATAAAGATTTCGCGTACGTAATATATACATAAAATAAATAAATATGAATACTTGATCAATTTATCCTAATAACTATAAATATTATCATTTTTTGAAAATTGACTGGTTTGATTGATTTTAAACCGAAGAAAAAAGGACGAGGTTCTCAAATCGACACGTATATATTATTTTTACATAGAGTTCCTCGCTTAGGCGAAATGAATGAAAATAAGTATAGTGCGAGTGAGAGCCCAGTTAACACCACGCCCAGGCTAACACGTTAGTTTGTAAGGCCAAGTGAAGCGGGCTTTAATCCCGGATCTCGCACCTCAGTTCTGATATATGAATTAATTAAGATATATTTCAAATACTTATGTTACATCAAATTAAGAGTTATATTTTGTTTTTAAATCAACATAAAATATTAACTTTGCATACTTAGTATGTTAGTACTTTATTCTAAAACAAGCGCTCAGACAGTTTTTCCTGTATGTATATAGCATATAACCATCAATGAGCATCTCTTGTTATTGTTTTTTATCTACATATTCGAGTATAGTTATTGACACAAAAACTGGCGCTTTAATAAAAAATCTATGTAGGAACTCGTTGAACGTAGAATATTATTCAAATCCCGGCAGTGTATACTTAGCAGAAGATACACTGCGGGTACGTAACTTACGTATTGTACTTTTAGTAAAATTTTCATCAATATATTACATAGTAATATCAATAAAATGTATGATTTAAGTACACACAGCTTTAGAATGCGGTAAGGTTATCTATACATATAATAAAATTGTAACTAAGTCAAATCTGTACATTAAATATTATTTGGAAAATCTAATTGAAATAGACATTATTATCGATACAGAGTCCGAATCTATAGTTTTTAGAATTTTTGTCTGTCTGTCTGTCTGTCTGTTACCGCATCACGAGAAAACCACTGGATAGATTTTGATGAAATTTGGTATGATGATAGCTGGTTATCCGGGTCAACATATAGGATACTTTTTACCCCGAGAAAATATCTCATTTCTTAGAAAAAATACAAAAACTGCATTGTCTTTTACATTGCAGTTTTTGTGTTTTTTCTAGGAAATACTATATACTAATATGTAAAAACCAAGATTTGGTTTTTGATCATCTGAACGCGGGCGGAGCCTCGGGCAATGCTAGTATTAAATAAGAATCTAACCTACTAAAGTGCTGCGTGTGCGCATCCAAGTCGTACGTGCGAATGTTAAAATATACCTATAATATTTGTCCTGATTAAGTGTTTTAAAATTTCACATTATATCCATTATATTATCATACAGAATAAAATATAGGGAAAATTTTTTTTGTTAATATATAAATGGTACCCTTGCACATATTATTTGGTTATTATAAAACACTTTTATTCCGGTAAGCAGATTAATGAAAGAGCAGAGATTCTTCGGTTCTCAGACTATAAAGTTTAAACGGACAAGCCATTTGATGTAAGATAAAAAATTTAAAATAAATAACAAAATTGTCCAATTACTCTTTTGCTGTATAAAGAAAGGCGTACAAACAAAGGCATTTGCCTATTTACTATCCATAAAAACAAATATTTAAGTCAGTCAGTTTTAAGATTTTTTAACAATATAACTTTAAATACAATCACACGTTCTAGTTATTTATTTAGGAAGTGGTGTTAGTATGCTTTATTAATAATAAGTTGACTAAGTTACCCTTTTGAGACTAGAAACTTATAAGGATATGTACATATGTTAGTTCATTACACTTCCGTCATATGAGATATAAATCATTGATATTGATATGCCATAAATATCTCACTCAATAAACGTTTTATATGATTTAATAATACATATAAGGCGGAATGACCTAGTACTCTAACCAACTTAAAAGACGAAGGTTCTGTTAGCGCTCACGTGTTTACTTCTAAGTAAATTGCATACACTTTTCAGGAAGTACACGACCTACTCGTCTTATCCATAGCAATATAGTATAAAAGAAGCTTGTGAGGATGGATGGATGTTTGTTACTTAATCATGCCAAAACGGCTGAACGGATTTGGATGAAATTTGACACAGAGATAGATTATAGTCTGAAATAACACATAGGTTTTAATCCCGGAAAAATGTACGGTTCCCGTGAGAAAGATTTGGTTTTGTTTTTCACTAGGGACGAACTCGAAGCGAAGCGAGGGTGAGTCGCTAGTACGATATATTTTTTCACTAGATTTTTTCTATTATGTATTTACTTATAATGTTTTTAAATCAGATTTTAATCGCACAAAAGTTACTTCTTAACTGCCACGCCGACTTTAAAATGACTTTAAAAGTATAAATATTCCACTCCGAGTAATTAAAAGTTAAATATTCCACACTAATGTTATTGCTGTTGTGTTGTTTTTAAGTTTGGGTCTAAAAGTATATAGTGGACCACTTTAAGGTGTAGCGTACCTATCTTTTAAAAACAGACTGATGAAAATATTTTACGTTTGACCATTGATATTATATGTATATATATTTTTTATATTTGATATACAAAGTTTTTATAAATCAATGCATTCGAATAAATCGCAGAACATACCTACAAACATACAACCTAAACGAGTAACTACCTTCTCATTTTTGAAATCGGTCAATAAAATTGTATAGGAAATCGTAGCATTGGAAGAAGCTACAGATGATATAAAAAACCGGCCAAGTGCGAGTCGGACTCGCGCACGAAGGGTTGTGTACCATAATCTATAAAAACGGAAAAAAAATCATGTCTGTTGCATGGGAGCCCCACTTAAATATTTGTTTTATTTTAATTTAATTATTTATTTTTAAAGTTTTAAGTTATATATAATTAAATTTTCTGTGAATATCGAGCAAAAACGAGGAAAAAAATCACGTTTGTTGTATGGGAGCCCCCTTAAATATTTATTTTATTCTGTTTTTTAGTAGTTATAGCGGCAACAGAACTACATCATCTGTGAAAATTTCAACTGTCTAATTATCACGGTTCACGAGATACAGCCTGGAGGCAGACGGACAGAGAACCATACGGACGGACAGCGGAGTCTTTGGGTAGGAAACCCTAATACTATGTACAACAGAGAACACTTAATTTTAGTCAAGTTCATTCAATCATCATCATTTTTTACCAGATAACACAATAAAACTTACGAAAGGATAATACTTTAGTTAGATTTACGCGAATATTTATGTGTTTTATAATAAAAGGCTATATATATATATATATATATATATATATATATATAGGATTTTCTGTATCTACGTAATTTTATGAGCGTCATAAAGCAGTGACAATAAATATTGCATAGGACATCCGCGATGGTCTGAAGATTGTTGCTATTACATGTGCATGCCAAGTACTTAGTACTTAGGTCATCTTACTAATATTACGTCTATTGTAATGAAACTAGGTTTTAACCGTGGCTCCGTTCATTATAGGTACATGTTAAGTCTGTTAACGCAACTATAAGCCATTATGGAAAAAAAGTACATGTTAAATAAAGTCTTTGTCAATCTATGTATATAAAAATCGAAGTGTGTGAACAATCGAAGAAGTGTATGTTCCCTATGAACTCCAAAATGGCTGGAGCGATTTTGGTGAAATTTTCAGGCAATCTTCAGATTAGCCCAGCGGGTGATATTGTGAAGTTTGGGAACGATCGAAAGTTTGAACGCAAGCGAAACCACAGGTAATGCTAGTTTAGAATCTATTCGGAATTTTATGTTACGGAGAAGTAACAAGTACACAACTGTAAAAATAAGGTGATACGAGTAGATATGTTGAAAATCTTGTAAGTAACAAAAGGTTTATCTAGCTTACATCTTTTCTTAGCACATTAAATATTGCGAATATTCTAGATTTTAGCACTTAAATACGAGTGGAATATGAAAAAAGTTACATAATATGAATAAAGGACTTTAGTAGTAAGTAAACCTTAATTATAATGACCGCGCATACAATAATTTTATACAAAAATTGAAGTGTCTTTTACTTTAGTATGGCTTCATCTCCATATCTTTTTCAGATAGGGCTATCAAACCTAGTCTATGTTATATTTTATTGAGGTAAACTACATCCTAACGTGGTCCCATATAATTTTCTAAATACCGTTTAAAAAATCGACAAGCAAAGATTACCTAGTACATTTAATTTAAGAAAAAAAAAACAATTTCTCGCGCTTTCTGTTCACACAGATTTGTCACAGGTTTTCAATTTAAATTTGACTGCCAAATAAATATTATTCACATATAAATAAAAGATTATATTTGTTTAGAGCCTTGTACAAATAACAAGCTGGTTTGGCCACCAGCCGTTAGCGGCCTTGGTAGTAGAAACACCAATTTTAAACTACAAGGAAAATCGTTAAATCTCGATTTTCCTACATACTAGATGTAATAAATATTGAGATCCAGTCGTAAGGTCGATGATGCAAGATTTCTATGACCTTTTTTCATATAACAGTGCACACTACTATTAATTAGGCTGCAGTATGAGAAATTCACTCGTTGCTATAACAGCATCCCATGCCTTAACTATATTTAGCAAATATCAATATTTAACAGCCTAACGGTATAGTCTAAAATGTAGAAATAGAATTTGTGAAATATAACTTAAGTCCGTCTTTGATATTTGTAGCTTGTAGCCTATGTTGGGGACATTACATCACCACAGCACCATCAGTTCCTATACCTGATGTAATAATATTGAGATCCAGTCGTAAGGTCGATGATGCAAGATTTCTATGACCTTTTTTCATATAATTGTGTACAATTTATACCAGATGAGAATCATCGGTTGTAATAGTATATGCTACACGATATATAGCAACTTAATATTTAACAGCCTAACGGTAATAGTTTAAAATGTAGCCCCAGCGGGACTCGAACCGTCTTTGACTATTTGTAGGCCCCATCGTTGGGACAATTAACACACAGGCACCAGTAGGTCTACTACAAAGCGCCACAGATCCCATATAGTGATATACCTACAGATATAATTACACTTAGGAATACTACATATTATGCCCTCGCTTCGAACTTCGGGCCGTTCATATAGGTTCACTACAAAGTCAATAATAATTAGGTTAGTATGGAATTAGATCGTCGATCCCTTGGGTTCATCCCTAGGTACGTTTTAATTAGTTAGTATGGAATAGATCGTCGATCCCTTGCTCAGCGAAAAACAAAAACAAATCTATCCCACGTGAACTGTATATTTTTCTGGGATAAAAAGTAACCTATGTGCTATTCCAGAGTATAATCTATCTCTGTGCCAAATTTCATTAAGATCTGTTCAGCCTTTCTGGCGTGAAAGAGTAACAAACATCCATACTCACAAACTTTCACATTTAGTATATTAATATTATATGATAATAGTAGAACCCGCGGCTACGCCCGCATTCAATCTACAAAAAATAACTCTTTGGATTTATGTTATACAGCGATTAGCGATCACGAACAGCGTTATATATTTATATAATATTCGTCATACAAAATACTAAAATCACGATTAAAACATGGAAAGTGGGGGTAGGAGGGTGAAAAATACTTTACGACCTATTGTCATACCTACCATATATAAAAAAATCATTAAAATCGGTCGAGCCAAATCGGAGGAGTGTGAGGAGTGTGACTACAAAAACGGTGACAAGAGAATGTATTTATATTTATAATGTTACTAACTAATTTAACTTATTAATAAATTTTAATATATTGCTACCTAATAAATCATAAGAGATTTGAGTTTTTTATAGTATCTGTTTAAGGAAAAATGCTATATAAGAAGTCCACTTTAGCATTAGGGTTAACGACCCTATATAACTATTTATAAATGAAACTTAAAGATATATTTGACATAAAAAAAATTTGAAATATAATAAAATCTATCTATCTTATATAAATAAAAATGAATCGCTAAATGTGTTGCTAAGTATAAAACTCGAGAACAACTGGACTAATTCGGGTATTTATTTTATTCAAATCTTCTCAAAAGTACGCGGAAGGTTTAAAAAAGGAAATATAAAAACACAATTTTTCTAATCGGACCTGTTACACAATTCATTTGACAGAACGTGGTCTGCCGGGTCTACTAGTACATTAAAAAAAAGAAATGACGATCGTAGGTAAGCGCATTACTTGACTTGGCTGGACCGGTTTGGCAAATTCTATTAAAGTCTAAATAAGATTATAGGGGAAAAATTATAAAGTTTGTCCGTAAAATTATACAAATTCGTTAAAAAGCTGTAAGTTCTATTTCTATTGGATTTTAGCGTGAATTCAAAGATTACAAAATTATTTGGATAGGACAACGTACGTTTTAGCTAATAGGTATGTAATAAAAGTATGTGCGTTTGTGTTAATTACAAATAAAATAATGAAAACCGATTGATTCATGACCGACTGATTCATCGACGTTCAGATTGGTATTATTCTGTAAAATCCGTAAACATATCTCATAAGGTTGTATGAAATATGCGTGTATGTATAACATAATGTTTATCTATGGAAATGATTTTTATCTTTGTAATTTGATTACATACAGACACCTATTTAGCAAAAATCAGCAATATAGCTTTAAAAGTAAAATACGGAGAGACGGACATGACAAAATCTAAGGGTTCCAATATTAGCTTTGGGGTACGGACCCCCAAAAAACATTATAAATTAGGGTAAATTCGCACATGTCAGTAATTATAAGAAAGATTCGTCCATTACTCTTTTTTGATTGACCATAAGATCATTATTTTAAACTTTTTTTTCGAAGATTCAGTCATTATTTTAGAAGATTATTTTAGACTAAGTACAAGGGGCTATTGCACCTAAAATTGTTTATTAAATTTAATTAGAAAATAAATTATAGCTTGACAAACGTGGATGGATAACCCACAAAATGACAGATAATAAATACGATATTTACTAATGTCAAACAATACAATTTTGACGTTTGCTGTAGATCAAATTAAGTAAATGTGGCCTTACATTTATAACCAACGATAAATAAACTATGGTTTTAAAACTATTGTTATTTATTAATATTTATCATTTAGTAATATCACGAATATGTATTTCCTAGTAAAACTTTAAGTGAAAATATGGTATGATGATCATTACCTACGTAATAATGATGGCAAATATTACCACGATTTGAAATAATAAAAACCTTCCTTCTTCCTTTTAGAATTTGAACTTGATAAACTTATTCCTAAAGTTAAATAATATTTTTCATATATTTTTTTATCTTTTGCCATTTTATTAACTTAGTAGATAAATGTGTCGTTTCTGTATGCACCTAAGTACATCAATACATGAATATATTTCATATATGAACGTGCAAATTTTTACTAATCGCGTGTCTAATAATACCTAAGAAAAAGCCAATTAAAAAAACGGAAAATAAAAAAAAATGACTTTTAATGAGGTACCGACATTCGTCTCGTTATTTTGTTCTGATAAAGAAATATATTCATGTAGTAATGCCTATACGCTATAATTAACACCCAAAACCAATGTTATTTTCCGTCCAAGTATGGCGTATTTCATTTAATAAGTTATTTACAATGAGTTACACTATTAGTAATGTAGGTAGAGAAAATTATTACTGAAAATTCCGAAGTTGTTCCGGGATTCAGAGGCTGGCACAGGAGTTAGAGGCGGGAGTGTTGATGCCTGGAATCCCGGAGGTGGGACGTCTGGAATTCCGTGTCTGTTATCTTGGCCATCACCACCAGTATTTGCATTAACTCCTTCGTCATTGTTAATTGGCGAAAGCGTAGGTTGGTTTTCAAATTTATCGTCATTGTTTACATCTGGAGCATTAGGTTTATCATTTCCATTTCCATTATTAAGTTGATCTCCTGTCTGCTGATTTGGTTTTTCGACAATTTCTGGGTTTAGATTCACAAAAGGACCAGTCGTCTGTTGCTGTCCGAAATTCACATTACCATTAGGTATGTTTCCTTGATTTGGAAATCGAAAGTTATTACGTCGGTTGTTTTCATTATCGTAATAAGGTCGGCTTTGATCAAACTCATTATTTATAGGTCGATTTTGATCGAGCTGTTCGTTATTTATAGGTCGATTTTGATCGAGCTGATCATTATTTATAGGTCGAGATTGATCGACCTGATCATTATCTATAGGTCGATTTTGATCGAACTGACCATTGTTTATAGGTCGATATTGATCGAATTGACCATTGCTTATAGGTCGATTTTGATCGAACTGACCATTGCTTATAGGTCGATTTTGATCGAACTGACCATTGTTTATAGGTCTATTCTGGTAAAACTGATTATTATTACTGATCGGTCTATTTTGTGCATTCACGAATGGATATATGTAGGCAGGATTGCTCGATGGATTTTCGGGTTGCAGGTGAAGTACGTTATTAATAATTTTCCTGAATCCATTAGGATTTAGAAACAAGTTTTGTGCGTAGGGTGATGAAATGCGACGATCTGTGCGTTGTGGGAAGAATCCTATAGAAGATAATGATATTAAATTTACATAATAAACAATAAAGTATATTAGAAATAATATAACTATAATACTAATGTTGTTGTAAATAGTAGGAATAAAAGTATAAATTTATTTTTAATAAGAGCGTTCTAGTAAATAGCCCAAAAAATATATATATTTCATCTAAAATGTATAGATACATACGAACGTATTAGCGCTACTATGAAACTGTTGTTTTTATCAAATAATTGAAAGAAAATCCTTTAATTACAATTAATATCGAAAAAAATAATAAAATTTTGTTTATAATTTAATTTATCTAAAAAAATTACAGCCTTACAGCCTTCAGTGAATTTTATTTATGTACATACATATGTATTATATTAGAGGTGAATTGATTGTGCCTATTTAATACTAAAGTTAGATTCCGCCAGGGCCGGATTCAGATATGTGAATGCAATTCAGGAGATGTTAATATAAAGAAATGAAAGTGTTTTTTGACCTTATATTTTTTGGTTCGTTAAGTTTACACAAACAATCAAACAATCACAAAAATACCTATATATATTTTTTCATTTCACATTAACAAAACGCATTTTGCAAATACTTCTATTGTGGAGGACCTTCTAATGTGTATGTAAATCCGGCCCGGGGTAAAGGTAAAGAACCGAATTCAACACAACACTACAATAAAAAATATAATAAAACGTGCAAAACGCAATTTACACTCCGCTATGGTCAATTACGTACGAATTACTTAATAATAATTTTATATAAAATCTGGGTACTCATTAGCTTTGTACATATACCTTCAATGTATGTTTGGATATATATATATATATATATATATATATATATATATATATATATATATATATGTATAAGAAATATCTTTAGTCAAATCATTTTTGATTACAATAACTATAATTGATTTTAAACATTTTAATTAGGATAACGATATTTTTAGAGTACATAAATATTTAAGCAAACGTAATAGTTTTAAAATGTTCGTTTATCTATTTGTAAGCATAGTATAATAAAAAAAACTTGTTAAAAATTTTACTGAATTTATAAATAGCTATGCCAAATATATTTAAAGAAAACCAAGCAGGTTTTGAAACCTCACTGATTATAAGTGTTTATTGGTCTAAATTTAAGTTGTATTAATAAGTATGAAGATACGACGAATCTACCGTCGGTAATACATTTTGTGACATATACCGTAACGTAAATACAGCGGGAAAAGCCGTGGCCAAAACAAACATTTTGAATCTAAACTTAAGCTCACGTATTGACGTAATGTCTCTTTCAAAATCAATTGGTAAACAGGATCTAGGAAACAGGCAAATCAACAAAAATATATCGCTTGTCTATTTAAATAATACTTTCAATGCAAAAAAACTTTAGCGTCGAACTGGTTTCGTATTACTTGGGCGAGTCGAATATTTATGTTTAATTATAAAGAGCTCAAGCCAAACGAATATTATTCTTTGATTATGATTTTATTTATCAGGCAGTGAACAAAAACAATATAGATAAATAAACACATTTAAAAATAGATATTTAAGCTTATTTATTTCCAATACCTGTATTACGCTACTATCGGTTTGTATGTGCGTGTATAGTTTTCTACTTCTTGATGCTGAAAAAACTGAACGCATTTGGATGAACTTTCGTACACAGACCTAGAGTAACACATAGGCCTGCCTACTGGTAATACTAAAATTTACTAAAAGGCACCGATACCTACATATATAAAATATAATAAATATAAAAGCGACGGACTCGAGTCAGCATAGGATTTTATTTGTACTATAAGAATATAAACTTTGAAGAGTTATTCCCTCCCTGGATTTTTGAAGTGAAAACTTCTATAGGCAGGTTTGGATGGGGAGTAAATTCATGTAAGTCTTCATTGACATAGTCACGTGACGTGTTAACGGTAACACTCAGAGTGCCGATAGATGTCAAAACCAGGTAATATTTATCTGGTGGACGGTTGTAATTTACAAATTTTAATTCAAGATTAAACAATTAATTTGAATATCCAAAAATAACAACTGTATGTTTATAATTTTAAGTTTTCACTTCTGTCGGCAGTCATGAAGACTGCTTTTTTTTTAGTACTGACATAGTAGGTAAAGGTGCTTTTAAAGTGGAGCGAAGCAAAACTTTTATTTTCGCCATAACATTCAAATCAAGACATTAGTTCTTTTTGCATGGAGAAGTTAATAATTTATATCTCATTGTATTTTTACTGTTACGTCGAACTGCTTATAAAGATAAAAAAAAAAACAATATTAATTTAAACATAAACTAGAAACTTCAACAACGCCAACTTATATTATTACATATTATATAATTACGAGATTCACACGTTAACGTTCCATATGTCTCATCCGGAACTGGTTTTGCAATAATGTTAGATATAAATAATCGAGCTATAAATTCGGTCGTTGCCAGCAAATCATGTTTAAGTCACTAAAAAGGCGAATCAAATTATTTTAACCTTCAAAAAATTGTGGTTTTAAAGTTTTATGATTTATCTTTATGGATATGTTTTATGCATTGAATTATTCTTGTGTATTTTATTCATAAAATTAATTGCTCTGGTTGACTAGTATATATGCAGGTAATGGGTTCGGTGCTGTTCAAGCCAAAATATTAGAGATTATTGTTACTTCAGGCTGCTACGTTGTTACATCGTATACTGAGTATGCGTCTAATTACCAAAAATATAACAAGGCACTATAAGCAGTTACAAAATACACGCAGAAACTAATCAAAAAAACATAATTGCCTCATTCGTATATAATTAATCTTTATCAGCCATTATGACATCGTAAGGTACTTCCGTTCAATGACGCCACTTCCGTATGAGGATAGCAATTGTCACAAAAATCATTTGCATGATTATTTAATAAATTTTAGGCTATAATCTTGCAAATATTATAAATGCGAAAATTTGTGATTTAATATGTTTTTGTTAATGGATCTGCCTTATATTTATATTATGAATTAACATATAAGCTACACATTATTTGCTGACACAGACCACAGAAACATACAGACAGAGACCACCGAAAAACAACCTACCTTAATAAATACACAACAATGTAAATTGAACTCTGTGAAAATTTCAACTCTCTACCTATTACGGTTCATGAGATACAGCTGACAGACAGACGGACAGACAGCGGACGGAGGCTTTCAGCTGTCGATATACATAAAACATTAATAAAAAATAATATTGTCATAAATTTTTAATTGACTGCCTCGGTGGTGTAGTGGCTAGCATGTACGGCTGCACAATCGGAGGTCCTGGGTTCGAGTCCCGGGTCGGGCCAAGTTTAGTTACTGAGACTTTCTGTATATTAAGCCTCAGTAACAGCCCGAAGTTGGGAAGTTGGCGGTGTTTAACCCCCGTGCCTCGGAGAGCACGTAAAGCCGTCGGTCCTGCGCCTTAACTCTCACTGGTCGTGTCTCGTATCGTCCCACCAGAGTATGAGAGTGACAGGAATAGAGTGTGCACTAGTATCTGCGCGTACACTTGTGCACTATAATATCTTCTGCGCAGTTGTTTGGCTAGTCTCAATGAGATTGGCCGCCGTGGCCGGAATCGGTCAGGAGAACATCAATCATCAATCAATTGTCATAAATAGTATTTGTAGCAGTTGAACAAAATCCACTCAATGCGAATAAACAATAAATCGTTTTTTCTCATTAAAATAATGAGTATTTAGCTACATTACAAAGATCAGAAGGTACACTTATGTAATATAAATAGGTTTTACGATGTCATTGTTCTCGGTCGATATAATACAGTGATAAACTATTGTTTATTATCTTTATAGGAAATGATTAAATTAAACGTCATCTGTAATTAAGTAGGCTCTAAGTAAGACCTTTTTTCTACAGCTTAGAAAGTTAAGAAATAGCATTCTTCTGTCTATTATGAAATAATTGATAATGCGATTCTTCTATAATAGATAATGCGAGATTCTAAAGAGAGTGAGAAAATTCAGAGATTCATATTAACGTAAATCAATAAACACATTTATATAAAAAACGTGTGTGTGTACTTATGTACGCACATAAGAAGTTTAAAAGAAATGCAGCTAGCTTCATCACGTCGCTTTCAGCTAAATTCATCATGTCGCTTTTTGGCTGTCGGTGTGCGCGCGCATCGTAAAAATTGTACTCTCAAAAAATTTTCCAAACGCGCCATAAGAAATATAACTTCAAAATATATTTTAAATCGATTTAAACTTGATTTATAACGTGATTTATATATAACATCGATTTTTGCAAAGAACAATATTGCAACTCGGTGTAATAACATGTTTAAATTTAATATGTACATATTACGGTTAATTAATCAATTTTTCTTTTTAAACTATCTCGATACGGAGTTACAAAATTGTTCATTGTAATTCAGGGAAAGCAATGCAATAGCAACATAATCGATTCCCTTAAAAACCTAATAAACATTGGCAGTTGATAAACAACAAAATTATGTCTTCCGATTTAAATGTTATGACGATAAATTTAGAACATATTTTATACCTTTATCTATTTAAGTAATAAATTAGAATTGAATCATCAAAATAAAAAAATAAATATGCAAATTCATCTTTGTTGTTACTTTTGATACAATAGAAGCCAGGACACAGTTTTTTTTATTTATAAACCATGGATGTTTACGCATTGGGCGAAAAAAGCCGAAGCAATATCGTAATTATTTTACATCTTATTTTCAGACTCAAGATAACATGATTCTAGTTTTATTATAATCGATTGATTGACTTGACGCAAAGATACTTCTTCCATACATTATAACAAACTAGTATATAAGCTACTAAAAATAAATATTTTATTAAAACTATCATAAAAAATCGAAAAAGTGATCAAAACACTTGATTTTATTGGCTAAATCATATCATGTGACGCGTAAATTATTGCGTTTGACGATTTTACAAAAGTAATCAACAATACTTCCTCGTATTTTAATTATATTTTTAATTGATGTTATTAATTTTATTGATGATATTTACTCATGTGTTTCTCGTAAAGTACATAAAATAACGCTAATGATAATTTTATTGGGAAAAATTATTCCCCTAGAGTAGGTAATTAGAGATGTTTGTTTATTAGTCTTGTTTCAAACTAGTAACTTGCTCTTGCTTCGCTCGGTTAAGTACATCGTCTAAGTGCTTATTTGTTCAAAGACCTATTTACTGAAAGAGTTTTTTATACAGAATTATTGGCTTTTAAATGTCAACTCTATTGGTATAAATTAAAATACACATTTTACTTTAAAAAAGGTGTATTTTATCTACATACTACTAGCGGCTCACTCTCGCTTCGCTCGGGTTCGTCTTTCTAGATACGTTTTAACAGTTAGTATAGATTTCTCAGATATGAGAAACTTTCCCGCAGTAAAAAATATCCTATATGTTGACCAGCTATCATCATACCAAAATTTCATCAGAATCCCTCCAGTGGTTTTTATGTGATGCGGTCAAAGACAGACAGACAGATAGACAGACAAAAATTCTAAAAACTATAGATTCGGCCTCTGTATTGGTAAAAATGTTCACAAAGATTTTCCAAAAAATATTTAATGTACAGATTCGGCGATTCAAATTTCATCAAAATCCCTCCAGTGGTTTTTCTGTAATGCGGTAACAGACAGACACACAAAAATTCTAAAACCTATACATTCGGTCTCTGTATCTACAATAATGTCTATTTTAATATGATTTTCGAAACTATATTTAATGTACAGATTCGGCAAAGTTACAATTTAATATGTATAGATAAATCTTAGAAATTAAAAGTTTTTTAAATAGAGAAAACAACTCGCTATTTTAAACTACAACAAGTATTGGTAATTTGAACAAATATGTACTAAGACTCAGCCTATGTTTTACTCTATAGTCTGTCAATTAATAAAATTTTATTCAAATTCGTCCAGCCAGTCGTTCTAGCGTTAAGGAGGTACATACACACACATCATTTTCATATTTATTAGTAGTCCGATTTTATTATATGTACGAGTATATGGTATACACAGGTATTGTGTGAACCTGCAACGGTGTCAAAATATGGAGAAATCAAAAAACGAATAAAAAACATGATTAATCACAAAAATAATATTAGTGGCGTTTAAAGCTTAGATCCCGATCTACACATGTGGTGAATCCCTAACTCGTTTATGGGCGAAATATATTTTTTAAACCATAAAATATATTAACAAACACGACCCAGGGGATTGTCACCAAAAATTTGGTTCAGGCTACTTTAAATTAAAAAAAATATTGTTTTTTTTTTAAAAACTACAAGAACTTTTTTCCTGTGACAACTTAGTGTCAATCAAAAGTTAAGGACTTGTAGAAAACGCCATCATACGTTTGACGACCTTTTTCGAATCCACATAACCTGACATCTAGATTTAAACAGGCGAATTAAAGTAATTAATTGCTCGTATCGGATCATATTTTCCGGAGCCAACCAAGTATCAAAAAGGAAAAAATCAACCAAACCAAGTATCAAATGTTCGAATTTTAATGATATACCAAAACATCTTCAGACTAGAGGTTTTTTTAAATAAAATAGCTCAGAGCAAATTTTTCGTGATCACCCCCCTGGGTCATGTTTGTTAATATTATGTTTATTGTTTAAGAAATATATTTCGCCTGGAAAAAGAGTGCGGTTTCCACCACATAGATCGGGATCTTAGAGTATTAGGGTCATAGATATAGTAATTTTTTTTAGATTGTATGTATGTTTTCTAACAAAAACTAATTAATTATTACAACTATGTACATAACAAATTGGAACAAATTCTTAATCAGATGATTTTGTATTTCTAATGACATAACTTTGTCAACGCAAACTTGTGTTATACTTTTATATTATAAAGATATCAATGGATAAACTTATAATAATTCAAATTTTATATTTATATAGCATTTTTAAATTTTAGTAATTTTGAACTCTTAAAAGTTTTTTGCGTTGACAACGCGAATGTGTTTAATTAATTAAAATACAGTATTTCAGCTTTTTTCGTTACACATGTATAAAAAGTTTCCAAGATTTACCATTATTTAAATTATATGTAAATTTTATATCATTTTACAATAACAACTTAGTTCTACGAGTAACTTAAAGCCAACTTAGGTATGTATCTAACAAAAAAACACTTACCAAACTGTCCGTAAACAATATTCACGCACAGATACACACACAAACTATATATATACACCTTCCCCATGTCCGATCTGCGCAGGAGTTGCTTTTAAACTGAATTTTTATAATATTTTTCAAGCGGCCGTTTCAACTGCGTGCGGTCAACTAGTGGTGATCTTGACCGACTTTACAATATAAGCGTTTGCGGCGACAACTGACCATAGGCGACCGGAACTTGAGTCCAATGGAATTTGGAAATCCCTATAAGTATTAGGATCACTTGCATGAGATCCTCAAAATGATTTAATATGCCTTTTCTTCATTTATATGAAAAACGTTGATAATATGATAATAAGTAAAAGAGATTTGAATGTCGGTTGATTGATGTGTTTTAAGGATTTTTTGGCAGTTGTGTTTTTATTTTGATTTTTTGTTCACATTTCGAGTGTTTTACAGTGAGCATGGTCCCAGAAGAGACTGAGGTTTTGACGTATCTAAAGTCGTAATTATTATAGACTATGTCTACCCGTAAAATTATATAATAAGGAAAAGTGGCTATGGGGTACCTTTCAATATTAAAATTGAGCCTAAATGCTTATAGCCACAGAATAAAGAACATTGCAGTATTAAAAAACAGTAGGTACTATTGTACACTTTTGTGATCCTTAAAAGTTAAAAATTCTATCGGCTGATTGATTTCGTTCCTTGATTTATTGCTTTTAGACGTGACAGACGTACAGTTTACTTCGCCAAATCGCTACGACACTGTAGGGTGGAAATTGTTTTTCCGTAAATTATACGTTTTCTAAATATATTGAAGACATACCCTACAGTGTTCCCCATACCCCTACGGAACTTTCAAAGGCCCTAGTTTTTTTATGGAATTGGAAGAAGTCTATTGACAGCTCCATGTAAATTTCTAAGAAATTAATTAAATTTCTAAGATATCTATTGTTAACTGTAACGCCGGCGTGTGCGCGGTCATGGAGGGATTAGAATAATTAAAATTATATTAGGCGATAATTATATTGTAAAACAAATACATCCGAATGGAATACCGTCTTATTTTGATATCGGTAAAAAATATCTAGATCGAATTTCCATTGCATATTTTTTAATTATATTCAAAATGAGATTAAATTTATATAAATCATTTGTGACGTGATTTTTCACATATTATTTCGCGGTTTCATTTTACTTTTTTGTCACCGACGATTCCAATGTTTTACTTTACATAGGAAACGTAGTCTTGAGGCAGTGGTAGGCCAGTGGTAACGAGCTCGCTTGGGAAACCGAGTGAAGCGGGTTTAAATCCCGCGTCTTGCACCTCTGATATTTTCATGTGCGAATCATTTCTAGCATGATTACCACTTGGCTTACGGTGAAGGAAAACATCGTGAGGAAAACCTGCATGTCTGAGAGAACATAGCAAATTTCGAAAGACATGTTAAGTCCGCCAACCCGCACTTGGCCAACGCCATAAGTTTTAGGGCCTTAAAATAAAAAGTTTATTTTTGTTTATTCATAAAATTTTAATGCTTATAAAGCATCGGTAAACTTTTAATCTATTTAGTTCTTTTTGTATGATTCATTTGACCGGCAACACCATGTTAAACGTGGAGAAGGGGTCTCGTAGTTATTGTTTTTTTGGTTTTACCCGGGTGTTTTTAATGTAATTTAAATGATTTTCATGGCAATTATTTTATATTATTTTTAAATACAATGTACCTAGCGTGATTCATTTTGAAAGTAATCCACGGTTTAAAGCTTACTAATCCAATTTAAATCAATATTTTATTAATAAAATATCCAAATTAATTAAATCATTTTAGAAATTTTATACATATTTTTTAAATAATAGAAATAATATTTAATTTAGTTTTAATTTAAAAAAAAGCTTACATCTTTTCCCCTGTTTTGCTATGGCAATTCTTGTGAAACATCGAAATATGTACAAAAAATAACATTTTTAAAATAAGATATAATAAATAATAAACCATACTATAATGTTATAAACGTGAAAGTAGCTTTGTCTGTTTGTGACGTTTTCACTTTTAAACTACTGAACAGATTTCGATAAAATTTAGGAAAAGTCGCTTACAATGCGAGCTAAGCCGCGGGCAATGACTGGTATCCAATATATCATATTAAACATAACATACACTTACTATACATATATATTATCCATACTAATATTATAAAAGTGAAAGTGTGTTTGTTTGTCCTTCTTTCAAGCCGAAACGGAGTGACGGATTGGCGTGATGTTTTGTGTGCAGATAGTTGGAGGGCTGGAGAGTGACATAGGCTACGTTTTACCGCGGGAGTTTACCTAATGCTCACGGGAAAACTTTATAATACAATAAAAAAAATATTTTTGATCAGAATTACTTGAAACTTGGTGTTAATGCTATTCAATAAAATTAAATAAATACGTGTTTTAGCATTTTTCGAAATTCATCCGATAAGGGGGTAAAATAGAGGATGAAAGTTTGTATGAAACTACCTTTTTTGAGTTTTTTTGTAGTTTTAGCGCGAGCGAAGCCGCGGGTTCTGCTAGTATTTATATATGTCTAACTCAACAAGTCAACCTGAGTGTGTACTGTGTAACCTAGAATATACGAAACCTGTTTCAGTTCGTACGAGTAATATTTGCACAGGTCATTAGTTGATGTGAGACAAGTATATTATGTCCTTTAAAATTTAAAATATGTCCTTAACTTAAACGAAAGCTATTAACATACAGATTTAAAAAAATATTGTATGCAAATATATGTATAATATTTATTTTAATAAGACAAATGACAAAAAAAATTAATTACAAAAATAGTTGACTGCTAATGAATAATATTTTTTATACTTAATAAACTACGAAAACAAGCGACTTCACTTTGTTTCTCTAACATTGTGTAGCAGTAAATTTTTTACCAACTTGAAAATGATACCCAATTCGGGTGTAGGTCCTTTTATGTAATCTATGCATCAATACGCGTATATATCTTCGCCAAACGGTTTTCTGAATTCTTTTCATCTATATAGATAATCTATACAGATAAATAAAATTGAAGTGTCTGTCTGTAATGTCAAAATAACAGCTTTTTACTAAATGCATATGGAATCATTATTATATACGGTACTTATTCGTATAAGAAAATCACGATTTTTTTAATTTTGACTGTCTGTTTGTTCCTGCTAATCTCCGAAACGGCTGGACTAATTTTGACGGGATATTCGTTGGCAGATAGCTGATGTTATAAGCAGTAACTTAGGTTACTTTTATTTTGGAAAAAGAATAACGATCCCGCTCAAAAAAATTAAAACGTATCTAGGAACGCACCCGAGCGAAGAGTGTAAGTAGTAATGAATAGGAGAAAAAATACAATTAGAAGTATAATGATCTGATCCTTGATCCTTTGCAGTACAAAAAGAAGCACAAACAAACTTAGCTGCAAACATTGATTTATCTACAGGTCACGGGCAGTAGATAGTGTATCAAACACTGCGTACGCAGTATTATTTAATACTAGCGACTCAGTCTCGCTTCGCTCGGGTTCGTTCCTACTTACGTTTTAACGTTTAGTATCGATTTCTCAGAGATGAGATATTTTCTTGCAGTAAAAAATATCCTATATGTTGACCCGGATAACCAGCTATCATCATACCAAATTTCATTAAAAATCCCTCCAGTAGTTTTTCCGCGGTGCAGTCATAGACAGACAGACAAAAATTCTAAAAACTATAGATTCGGCCTCTGTATCGATAATAATGTCTATTTCAATAAGATTTTAAAATATTTAATGTACAGATTCGGCTTGGTTACAATTTAATTATATGTATAGATTTTGTCTGTTTGTAATTTAATCTCTGGAAGTATCAGTCGAATTTGAAAAATTCTTCAGTCCGTATTGAGGATGGTTGTAGCTCACAACCTTTAGCCGCGTCCTCGTTCGCGTAATCTATCTACATAAATAAAAATGAATGTTCGTATGTTTGTCCTCTATACGTTCCTAAACCATTGATCTGGTTGTGTTGTATACGTCTAAAGCAAGAATTTACGGTTGCAAGTCCGGCAAGCTCGTAAAGCGATCAGTTCTACTGATCTCTCACAGGGCATTCGTATATATCTTTTTAGGAATTTTCAACCTAAACTGCAGACGGCCTCTTAAAAATATGCAATATAGCCACACAACAGTATGTCATATAAAAAATCTGGCCAATTAATTGAAAATTCATTTCTTTCCTTCTGCCACGATATATCTACATGTGGTTTATTTTTTACACCTTCGTTATTTAGCAGATTTTATTTTAATGTTGAATATGTGAACGTGGCTTTAATGTAGTGATGTATATATGAGTGAGATCTTACAAGTTACAATTGTAATATGATAATTAATTTATTGCTTGAGATATGACTCTATTAAGGATAATTTATAATTGAAACTTAATATTACTATTTACTCAATATTAACTATTATCATTAATAGTAAGTACATTATGAATTCTATTCCTTATTACTAAGCTATAAACGCTAAGCAAAATACTTATGGATTGTTTATCTAATAGATTTAACAATGTAATCTATACTAATATTATAAAGAGGTAAAGTTTGTGATTTAGCTTGTGACGTTGTAGGGGGTAATCTCTGTATCTACTGAACCGATTTAGATGAAATTTGGTAAGAAGATAGTTTGAGACCCTGCAAAGGACATAGGATATTTTTTGTCCTGGAAATAATCCCTTAAGAGGATAAAAATGTGGATGAAATTTTGTATTGGGAAGCAAGCTAAGGACGAACCCGAGCGAAGCGAGATATGTAAATAAAACTAGAGCCTGTATTAATATTGAAATAAGGAAAATGTAAATCCCATCAAAAACATACTGTAAAAATATTGCAAGTCTCGCAACGCATCTCTCTACCGCAAAAAGCTATGAGATATAATGTAAAACCAAGTCGGTTTATTTATTCATTACCTATCTATGGAAGCATCTATCCGACAACTTTGTCATAAATCGTTACCGAATTAGTTAAGTTACAACATTTTATAGTGACCGTATTAATATTATATATATTTATTTCTTTAATTAATA